TTTGGGGATCCCTCATTGGAAGAACCCCCTCATTTTTGTTGTTGTTGTTGTTGTTGTCGTTGTCCACCCGAAATTCCGGCATCTGCTCGCCTGTGAGAAGGAAAACATGCAAGTCCAGAGACTGAAAGTGAGCTGCGCGAGCGCGCGGCGCCTGCAGCAGTTTGAAAAACATTGGATTTTGAGCTGGAAAAAAATGGTCGCCATCCAAAGTCGGGATTCGACATGGTACCATCCGAATGATGATTGTACATGAATTTACCTTCCATAAAATGTGGAGTTTGCATGCTTTTACAATCCAAAATGACCCAAAATGGGGATTTTGCCAGCAAATGATTTGGGTTTCACCATCCCAACATTCGGATGGCGCCCCCAAGACGTCAGAATTTCACCATGTTTGTTGGTTGAATGCTGGTGTTGAGGAGCAGGGTATCAAGGTGAACTGACCTATACAAGAAAAGCCACCGTGCAGTGAGCGATTCACCAACTAAGAGTGACGTCACCATTTCATAAAGTTAAATCATCTGGGGGTAGGATTTCAAATCGTTCGTAGATTAATGGCCAAGTTTGATTTGCCTCGCCGCGATGAGAAGGGTCCTATCCCAAATGCAGAGATCCAATCAGCAGCAATATGGTACCAGGATCTTTGTGTGTGTCTAAACATGATCCATATACCATCCACCCAACCAGCATAGACCCTGCTAAATAAGAGATAATGAGATGGGTTGTTAGGTAGATAAACCAACCCATCATAACCAGAATGCAGGGGGGTTGATAGCTCATTATTTATAATCCGTTAATCTAACTCATGTCATCCCACAATCCATATACAATAGGGAATATTCCATTAATCTAACTGGGGTAATACGGGACACATTCAACGAGATAAGCTTAACTAACCAATAACAACCATTTGCTGCAAGGGGGTTGATAGCTAATACCCTCTGGTTATTTAACATAGCCATGGAAAATCACCATTTTTAATAGGTAAACTAGGTAAACCATCGAACTAAATGAGCCATTTTCCATGGCTATGTTAAATAACCAGAGGGTACATGCTAATAAATACCCTCTGGTAAATTAACATAGACCCTGGCAGTCATCGGGGTTGGAAGATTAGTTTCCATTAAAACTAGGCTATTTTCAGGGTCTATGTTATTTAACATAGCCATGGAAAATCACCATTTTTAATAGGTAAACTAGGTAAACCATCGAACTAAATGAGCCATTTTCCATGGCTATGTTAAATAACCAGAGGGTAAACCCCATTAAATCATCATTTTCAATGGGCAAATCCACTATAAATCCACTATAAATCCACTATAAATCACCATTTTCAATGGGTAAATAACCAACCAAAAAGTTGGGCCATGTTCAATGCGCCCCAAAAACCCCACGAAACGACCCCACGGAGACGTCACTCGACCTGAAACGGAGACAGCACGGCCGAAGCGCTGCCGAGTGCGCGCAACGGTGGACCTGGGAGGAGCTCGAGCTGGAAATCTGATGGGGATATTCACTAAAAAATAGGCCTTACCCTCTGGTTATGACTAACATAGCCATTGGAAATGGCCATTGAAATAGTGGATTTACCCATAAGAAATGGTGATTTTCCATAGCTATGTTAGTTTACCAGAAGGTATATAGGCCTTATATATGGTAGGTGGCTGACAAAACCATTTTTCCAAGTTTCGTTTTTATCATTGCATCAGTCATCCCAAAGAACTTTGAGCTGTTAATGGAGATATCTGACAAAACCATTGGGAAACAATGGAAACCATTGGATTTATGGTGATGAAAATGGAGATTTAAGCAGCACACATGAGGATACTATGATATTATATGATATTAATAGGAAATACCCTCTGGTAAACTAACAGTTTGCGAACTGGAGAATCACCATTTAATGGGTAAATCAACGAACTAAATGGCTATGTTCAATAGCTATGTTAGTTTACCAGAGGGTATCCGACCAACTTTATACCATGGTCAAAACATGGCAACCCATAAATTTAATAAGGGGACATCCTGGAAAAGCATGCAATTCACCCATCCCCATGTCTCCAAATGGAATTTCCTCTATGGGCACAATAAAGGGTATCAACATGTATCAACCACTACTTCACCACCATGTCAAGCAATGTTGACCCACCCAAAAGACCCAAAATCCCCAATAGATCAGTATAGATCAGTATATCCACCATCAAATTTTCTTCATTCAATCATTCATCCATATCATCCCTGCCATGATTTGATCCCTAGCACCTTTTTACCCACGCAGTTCAGCCCCCAACTGTACAGCAGCATCCACTTGGTCCTCCAAATACCTCGAGCGTGGCGTTTTGGGTGTGGTTGCTGGGATTGGTGGCCAAATGCTTGGCTTGTGGGCTGGGAAGATCGGGAACCCCCTTTTTTTGGGGGGTCAAAGTCCTGCTATTCTGTAGATGTTCCCTTGGAGCAATTGAGGGGTGGAGCGGCGTTCCAGTGGATTGATCGAGAATCCGACAAAACCAATTCATGGGTCTAATATAACATTTATCACACCTGGTTGGTGGTTAAAAGACCATCTTGAAAAATGATGGAGTTCGTCAATGGGAAGGATGACATCCCATATATGAAATGGAAAAATGAGGATACTATGATATTAATAGGAAATACCCGGCCTGGTAAACTAACAGTGTGCTATTGAAAATCACTATTTTTAATGGGAAAATCAACGAACTAAATGGTCATTGTCAATAGCTTTTTGTATGTTTACCAGAGGGTAACATTGATCACATTATAATCCCCCATCCAGTTTGGGTGGATAAGCGTCGATTTTGACTTGTGTGTGTCACCCCATGTCACCATCAACCATTGATATTTGCCGATGCTGGGACACTCCGAGGTGCGGATCTTCGCAAATTACAATGATTCCCAAATCTGGTTTCAGTTTTTCTCCATCTATGTATCATCATGCTTAATTTGATAGAATATGGAACTTTCAAACATACAAACAATAAGATTTTGTTCATTTATATATAATATATTCTATCTACTCCAGGATGACTATACATCATTGTATTATAATGTATTATAGGTTGTAGGTGTGTATATATATGATTATGTATATATATAAGAATATGCGGGACTTGGTCTGTCAATAAAGTCGCTATCATTTTCGCAGATCCATTCAAGTCAACCAATCATCATGAAACAACGCCCATTTTTTGATGGTTTCCCCGTTTGAAAATCAGGCCTCCTGTGATTGACCAGATCAATACATCAATTATATAGCTTTGAATCCCCATCATTGCCAATCTTAGATGCCCTGCAAAAAATGACAAATTCTTTGCTGGTGAACGTAGATATTCCCATACCAAAAGACTAGTTAGGATTAGTTTAAGTACCCATGTTTCAGATTGACCATTTGCTGATCTTTTGTGGTGAAAAATCCTTGTTGGTTCAATCCTCATTAAAAAAATTGATGCCAAAACCACCACTGGACCAAGATGGACCAAGCGATCACTGGCTGTCACCCGCCTCTCAGCTAATCCATGGCGCAAGGTTGTGCCGAGAGCATACCGATCAAACGTGGGCTAGTGATCCCATGAAGTTATACTGGTGGTGCAATAAGCATCTTGAAAAATGATGGAGTCAATGGGAAGGATGACATCTCATATATGAAATGGATTGAAATGGAAAATTCCAAAAAATGTTTGAAACTTGAAACCACCAACCAGTATAGCTTTGTTTATCCAATTTGAATAGGGGCAATTTGAATAGGGAAACATTATGATAAGCCCACTGGTATGGGGTATCCTAGTTTCAGACAAACCCTTATGCCTAGCACAGCAATCTTTAGGACTTGAAACCATCCATGTTGGGCTCAAAACATGAGGTGTCCAAATTTTCAGGATGTTCATCAAACCATTGCCAAAACATGACAAATTCTTTGCTGGTGAACGTAGATATTCCCATACCAAAAGACTAGCTAGGATTAGTTTGTATCCATGTAAGATTGACCTAGAAACACCAGCATCATCACTTCATTCTTGCGACATGTGAGGTTTTTTGGATTTTTATCGGTGCTCGAGAAACACAACTGCAGTATCAGGAGCGTTCAACTAGTGGATGGTTCTCACTTGGGTGTGTCTGAAAATGCAACAAAAACCCCAAAAATCCCAAAAATAGTCATATTCTAATGTGGAAAATGATGATAATCAGACTTTGAGATACTATTTTGAGAGAAACCCACTTAGGTTTTGAAATTCGATGCAAATAGCCCTAGATGGTACAATTCATCAAGTCGTCCGACCACCCTCGGGTCATCAATGAGGTAATGGAACCCCCAATGTACCCTCCGGTATTTAACATAAGCTATTGAACATGGCCATTTAGTTCGTTGATTTACACATTAAAAATGTTGATTTTCCATAGTTTTGTTCGTTGACCAGAGGGTATATCCATTGACGGGCGATTTATGTCCCAGAAGTGTGGACATATGAATTTTCCATTGCCGATCTACTGGGGGGTGCATCCCAGTTAGTAAATGGCAAATAACCAACAGGAACAGGTAGTTATATATGGAATGCCCTCAATCAGATTAATGGGATACTCCTTATGGTTTATAAACCTTGAGGCTCTGAGTTGTTTGGCAGTGTGTTGGTTGCACCCGAAGCTCTCAAGGCGTTGTGAACCATATTCAGATATGTTTAGAGTATTTGCGTAAACATGCAAGTACATATCTGTGTGAGACGTATTTGTATGTGTATGTATAAATTTTAAAATACGATATCATTCATATACATGTAACATATGCATGTACGAATAGATTATGGTATGCCGGTTACAGGCACTCATATATATATAAATACATGTGCATACACACATACATATATATATATACATATAGATATACGTGTGTATATATATATGCACACTTACGTACATAAATCATCAAAAAATAATATGCAACAAGACAATGCAAACAACAAGACCAGTGGTTCTTGCCCACGTTTTCTCTTTACTATCCCTTTGCTGACATCGCCGCGTATCTTTTTCATCTTTTCTTCTTCTGCGCCTTCTTCTTCGCCTGACCATCCAATAGATCTTCAGGGCTGGAATGCAATTTCAAAACTTGCCGGTATCTTTAGGGCTGCAACTGCATCTCTGTATGATAGAATATGCACGGCATGTTCCACGGAACTGGCAGTTAAAAAATACCTTTCAATGGGTCTCCTGCATTTGGTCCACCTTTTGACAAGGTCCTTGAGTTCCACTGTGTGTCTTCAGCTATGATGTATTCGGGATTATTCAGGCAAATAAAGGCCTAACACAAAGAATATGTTGTAAAAATCAGGACTGCTTCTGTGGCAAAACCATCTCAAATATACGCAGACGTGAATTTCAGTGATACATTGTTTGAGGTTTCAAAATATATCCCAAGATCTCACGAATCTACCAATCCAATCCCACAATCCGTTCAAAGAAAAAAAACTTGGGAAACCCCATGCCTATTGTCGTGAGAAGTGCCTCAAACCCGCTGATATCCCTAAACCTAAACGTACTAGTTGATTGAGCGCGGGGGTTCCAATTTTGGATCATAACGTGATCCGCACTAAACCTATTAACGACCCCTATCTTTCAATCATTCACCCTCAGTGATTTTGGGCATGCCTCATGTATTTGTTGGCAACTTCCTTGTGAAGCCTCATATCTGTGTTGCTTAAATTTTGATGTAATTAATGCTAGTCCAACCCATGGTTTCAATTTCAAAGTCAAATCTCATGTTTTGCTCAGCAAAATCCATGTCTATCATGTTCCTTCCCAGGTTGAACTTTAAATTCCTACCATTTTTGCTGACCAAAACCAAAAAAAAAATCCAATTTGCAACTTGGATTTCCACTTTTTTGGCCCCAACTCCAATTCGGCTACCCTCTGGTAATTTAACACAACTATGGAAAATCACCATTTTTAATGGGAAAATCCACTATTTCTATGGCCATGTTCAATAGCTATGTTAGTTTACCAGAGGCTATCCAATTCGCTACCGAAGTTCCCACTTTTCAAGCCAATAAACCATTGAAACGCCGTAAATTCCGCCGCACCTTGGAACCATGCCCAAACTTGGCGTCGACCACCACGCAGGTGCCACGTGTCTCCACCTGGTGGAAAGATGGGACCCTCTGGTTATGACTGTTACATAGCCATGGAAAATCACCATTTTTCATAGGTAAACCATCTATAATCCCAACCATAAATGGAGGTTTCTAGCTGGGAAAATCATCTATAAATGGCCATTGATGTTTGGAAGTCATGGTACATAGCCATGCTATAGATGGCCCATAGAAATCGTTGCTGGTTTTGAGCAAAACCCCTCTGAAAATCATGGACTGAAAGTCAGTTGGAATTCAGGTGTGATAGGTATATAGTAGTCTTAACAAGTTGATTAAGGGGGCAGTTACAATGATGTGGCTGACTTGCAGCACTACTACTAATTTGCCCATCACCAATCTGAAACAAATCCATCATGGATATCTTGGGGAAAAAGCCCATTGTTGAAAAAGAATCAAGGCCAAATCCCATTGTTTGGAAATCACAATAAGTACCCTCTGGTAAACATACACAAAGCTATGGAAAATCACCATTTTTAGTGGGAAAATTCACTATAAATGGCCATTTTCAATAGCTACGTTAAATTACCAGAGGGTATACTGTGATTGTAAATATATTCTAAATACCATCTGGTTATGACTAACAGTTCGCCATGGTAGCAATGGCCCTAATCGAAATAGATGGTTTACCTAGCTATAAAATGGGTAAACATCTTTCCATGGCAAACTGGCAATGTCATAACCAGATGGTTTTCCATGGTATACCACCAACCAGATTATTATTAACCATCATTAACCATCTAATAACCATATAATGACCATATATTAACCATTCCTCACTGCAATTCCTCACTGCAATTCCTCACTGCAATTGCTGATCAATCAAAATCCATTTATGGTTGGGATTATAGATTGTTTACCTATAAAAAATGGTGATTTTCCATGGCTATGTTAAATAACCAGATGGTAAATCCCATTAAATCATCATTTTCAATGGGTAAATCCACTATAAATCCACTATAAATCCACTATAAATTGGTGATCAATCACAATAAATTGTTGCTATCCTAGTTTTGAGACATCCCAAAGAAGCAACACCACGAGATCCGAAAAAAGATGTTGGTCAAAGCACCAAACAAATTCCCATGTATCCATGAATACATGATATTTGTATATATATATAATATACATAATATATACATGATTATATATGTACACAATTTATTTATCTATTTATTCATATGTATACATATATATATACAGAATATGTATCCATATCATTTATCCCAGTTGGATAATATGGCTTTGGAAATCGGATATCGGATCGACCAGTCGCCTGGATGGGCTGCATGTTGAGGGGACGCTCCGCAAAGATGTAGATGTTCTGGGCCAGGATTCGGATCAATGGGAGATCTTCAGGATCCAATACATGGAGCTACGTTAGTAACTTAGTACCGTATTTTTGGCCATATTTTGTGGGGATATTGCCTGAAATTTAGGCCTAAAAATAGGCCTTATATATGGTAGGTACCTCCATTTTAGGATCCTGAAGATCTCCCATTGATTTGGAGTTGTGAAAAATAATTATCAGGAGCCGGGTACTCCAAGTACATTCTCGTGGTATGCCAAAAAAAGTCATGTGATCGATTCACAATAGTAATAATAATCATAATAGTAATGACATGTATTGACTATCATTCTCATTTTCCCTATTTTCAGAAGGAATTTAGAACTGCAAATTTGAATCGCCCCAGGGTGAATTTCATCAGCCGAGATGGAACAGCATAACATAGTGATATTTGACCAGCAAGAATTGCGATTTTGATGGAATGATGGTTAATGATGGTTAATGATGGGTAATAATGGTTAATGATGGATTGGTTTAAGGGAAAATCTTCACCGGAAACCATCGATTTTCCCATTTTTATCCATTTTTCATATGGGGCGTTCCTGTACATTTTCCCTTAAACCAATCCATTGATCTATGTGAAAGCTGATGTTCTGAGACCTGAGTCCCACGGGAAAATGAAGATGTACTCCAGTGGCCATAGACCTGACAGCGATACCTTTCATGTTACCATCATTCATAATGGATTTATAGTGGATCTAGTGGATTTACCCATTGAAAATGGTGATTTATAGTGGATTTATAGTGGATCATAGTGGATTTATAGTGGATTTACCCATTGAAAATGATGATTTTCCATGGGATTTACCATCTGGTTATGACTAACATAGCCATGGAAAGATCCACCATGCTATTAATAGGTAAACCATCTATAATCCCAACCATGTGATATCTGTATCCGTTTGTCACTGTTTGTCAATTTGAATAATTCACACCATCATCTTCTGGTTGGTTTCAATCCCTCTGAAAAATGATGGAGTTCGTCAGTTGGGGTTACTATTCCCATATATGAAATGGAAAGTCATAATCCATTCATGTTCCAAACCACCACCAACCAGCCATTAATCCCATTAAATCAGAATATATCCCATTGATATATCCCAATTCTATCCCATTAAACCATTAATTGTTTCAGATGCAAGTGTTGAACTGTTTACCTCTCCATGAATCTGACAAAATTCGAACTCCCGGGGACCAACCAGAGTAGGGTCGCACCAAGGGATGCTTCCCTATACTAAGCATATCTAAGTCGTGACGGGGTGAAGCATCAAGTCTACTGGGCTACTGATCTCGTGCATTGCCTCAAAACATCACAAAGATTGGTTGAGATCCTCCAAGATTGGCTTGCAGGCTTGCGATTGGATCACATGATTGATTGATTTCAAGAGCTCGTGAAAAAGAGCATCATCCCATGCTATGATGTCAAACCAATATCCGAAGAAAACAAAACAGCATGCTTGGATGAGTTTAGTAGTGGTGTCTAAATACGGTTGGATTTGAAACCGGTCGACAAAGTTTCAATAGTAGGTGCGGTGGTCATCCCAGTTGAGCGCGTCGAATGCAAAATCTTCTATCTCAGGCTGGCGAGATTGGTGTCGAAGAAGTACGTCAAGGCTGCCTTCAAGTATTCGACGAGCATTCAACTCCATCTACGCCCAAGATCGTTGTAAGATTATATACTTCATGGTAAACATACAAAAAACTATATGGAAAATCACCATCTTTCATGGGAAAATATCCACTATTTCTATGGCTTCAATAGCTTTTTGTTAACGTTTACCAGGCCGGGTATACTTCATGCTATTCATGTCCAGGTCATGGAAGAACTTCTCTTCAGCCCCTGGAAATCTAAAGCACATCAGTCCACAAATTCATGTCCTTTTGGTAAAAATAGGTTTGGGCCGGGAGCTGGTTAATCCCATCTATCATCATAGAAACCCGTTGCTAAAGGGACAAACAAAGCCCTCTATTAACCAACATTAACCAACCAACCAATGGGAATTTGGGACATCTATGTCACCCCATTTCACTGCAATTCATCACATTTCGTCGCCATGGTGAATTACTCTGCCCAGTTCTACCAGGTCATTTGGATGTCAAAATGGGGTACCCCGATTAACCAAGTCATTGGACCATTTTAGTATTGAAACAACCATGGTGACGACTGGGGATCCTCCATTTTAAGAAACCCCTTGAATTTTCCTGGATAACCGTTGCAAATGATTGATATAAATTTCCACTACTTGGAGGATCGCCATGATTTTACTCTGCCCACTTCCCGCATTTGGATGTTTCCTAAAATGGTGGGGTACCCCAAATTATCCAAAATTAAACCATTTTTGGGAGATCCCCCATTTCAAGAAATCACCCGTGCTTCACCGGCTTCACCCTGCCTGCGCGAACATGCCGTTGGTCGGCCGATGCAGCTCATGGTGTTCAATCCCTTTGCTGTTTGTCTCGATCCCTGGCACCCGGTGCGTGCTGCAATGGAGCGACCCATGGGGGCTTTTTGGGGGCTGGTTTACTGGGCCCACAAAAAGGTCGATGGTCAGTTTTTTTTTGTATGTTGGGGGTTAATTATGTAAGATATGTACAGGATGGGGCCCCCAAGATAGCTAAGTTGCCTTATAAGTGGCTTTATGGTAGATTATAATGGTTTATAAACCCACTTATAACTGGGGGGCCCCATCCTGTAAGATATGTTTTTGGTGATTTTGGACGATTTCGGTAATTCTCAAGATTGAATCATCCGATTTTCACATCAATGAGGCTTCTCCAGTGGAAGGGGTACACAATCTTATGGCCATTCAAAAAATGGGTAACTGGACTTTGGGCTAGCCGCGAATTCGTGACAAACCCAGTCAAGCCAGAAGCAAAATTCTGCAAGCTGGGATGGAACATGAAAACACCTGAAGGTAATCATGAAAATTCATGAAATATCAACAAGCTGGGACGCGGAGATGCTAGAGAGAGAGCTTGATCATGTCATCTGCATGAACTGTCCACTAGACCCAGATCCACCAGATATGGCCTTCCAATATATGTTCCGCCCAGCGCTCAAAGCCTCAAACATGGGTACTGCAGTCAAAGTAGCTTGAAGTTGGAGATGGATAAGATGAGTTGTCTCCCTTACTCTGTTGCCTTTTCTGCACATTTTGTGTTGTTTCTGGGTCATATCCCCTTTTTGCTTATAGCTACCCTCTGGTAAACATACAAAAAGCGATTGAACATGGCCATAGAAATAGTGGATTTACCCATTAAAAATAGTGATTTTCCCATCAGTTTTTTGTATGTTTACCAGAGGGTACTTGGATGATTATTACTAGTGATTATGGATCATTCCCGAAAATTCCCTACGTTTTAGCACCAGTAAGTGGCTCATATCCCCCTTTTGCTTCTAGTTACTTAGTTCCATTGCCAATCTTAGATACCCTGCAAAAAATGACAAATTCTTTGCTGGTGAACGTAGATATTCCCATACCAAAAGACTAGTTAGGATTAGTTTAAGTACTCATGTTTCAGATTGACCTAGCATGACCTAGCTATTTTGTATACCACAGTTGGGATACATCAAATATGGCTTATTTATACACAAAATATGCCCAAAGCTTCTGTGAGATGGGTCAATCCATAGCGACTGGACGGTGATAGGCAAAGCGATGCTGGAATCTGGTGGATCCAAGGACTACCGTCGAATACGGTCCAAGGATTTCATGCCATCGGTTGAATATCATCGTATATATTATAATATATATATATAAGTATAATATATGTATATGCATATGCAATATAAATAATATGTTAGATTATCTGGACAAATGCATAAATAATGTATATAAAAGTATAATATATGTATAAGTTATACTATATCTTCAAGTATATTAACACATATCATAAATATCTGAATAAATTTTATCGTAATGATTTATACTTGAGCAACCTCAAATATCCTATAAAACCATAGGGCCATAGGGGATGACTTTCCTAATGCTAGTGAAGAGATCATCCATATAATCCATGTCAATGATCCTACCCTCTGGTAATTTGTTACACTTAGCTATTGAAAATGGTGATTTATAGTGGATTTACCCATTGAAAATGGTGATTTTCCAATAGTTTTTTGTATGTTTACCAGAGGGTATCATGATCAATGTCTAGTTCCAAGTCAACTTATTTCAAACTACAACGCACTATCCTGGGGTTTATCAACCATCTAGTGAGGTTAAATCCATTACCAACCCCACCCCTCTGGAAAGGAGTGGATTACTGACGTATTCTTGGATCTGTTCTGCAGTTCAATGCTCTTGAATCTTCCCAAAGGGTTGTCACAAAGAGTCTTCACCTCCGTCTTGAATCCGGATAGTTGGCTGGCATAAAATGGTATACCGCCATGGGTGGATCCAATATCCTGGGCCAGGCGCTCCAAGTGGGCATTCAAACTCTTCTGGCTCGCAGTGATGGCATCACCTACATCATTTTGCCCATAAAAAATGGCCTTCAAGGTATCCTTGATGGAATTGCTGGCACCAGCTCCAATAAAAAAACTCCTTCAAAGTGTTGTAGATGAGCTCTTCCTCTTTTCTTCGCTTGGCCTCCGGATCCTCCATGTTATGTGGTTTATCACCAGTTTCCCGTTGAAAAAATTGCCATTTGAAATGGGATTATCCATCATTTACAGCAACATACGGCAACCTCCACTGGGCAAGAATCACTGCCAGCTGGAGCTATAATCTAACTTTGAATTCGTAGGTATATGATGGTATATAGCTCTATTGTATATATATATATTATATATGTGTGATTATAAATGTATATATTCATATGTATATATATATATATATTTATGTATATATATAATATATATTCATAATGGGTGTTTGTTGCGCTATATTGATGGTATTTAAATGGAAATTATATAGCTACATTAGGCTATATTGGATTAAACCCTACAAATAGTTTCCAGCTGGAGGTCTCATTGTCAATCCATAGGCCAATGCCAGCGCTGCAGTTCAAACCTTATCCCCCAGCAATTTAACATCGCGATCAAAAATCACCCATAAAAAAATTAGATGATCAAAACCCATCTTGTCTTATCAAAAGTTGGAATTTTCTAACTTGCCAATGTTGAACTACCTGAAACCGACCTGTGCCAATTCAGTTGCCCTGGCTGCGCTCCAATCCATACCTTCTGGTAAACGTTAACAAAGAACTGATGGGAAAATCACCATTTTCAATAGGTAGATCCACTATTTCTATGGCCATGTTCAACAGAGGGTAATGGCTATGAGCTCATGTAAACCAGAGGGTAATGGCAAACTGTAACAAATTACTAGAGGGTATAGTTGTTAATAGGTACCATCTGGTTATTTGTTACATAGCCATGGAAAATCACCATTTATAATAGGTAAACCCAGGTAAACCATCAAATTACTAGAGAGTATAGTTGTTTGTTGAATCACGATTTCTGTTGCTGAATCTACCCTGCTGGATCCACCAACCAAATTGTCACCAAGCTGCGGTCTGTATTGGAAGGAACAACCTGCCAGTAGCGAACTCATTTTGATATCTTTATAAGTGGCAAAGAAATATATATATATGGTAATATATGGTAATATATGGTAATATATGGTAATATATGGTAATATATGGTAATATATGGTAATATATGGTAATATATGGTAATATATGGTAATATATGGCAATATATGGTAATATATGGTAATATATGGTAATATATGGTAATATATGGTAATATATGGTAATATATGGTAATATATGGTAATATATGGTAATATATGGTAATATATGGTAATATATGGTAATATATGGTAATATATGGTAATATATGGTAATATATGGTAATATATGGTAATAGATGGTAATAGATGGTAATAGATGGTAATATATGGTAATATATGGTAATATATGGTAATATATGGTAATATATGGTAATATATGGTAATATATGGTAATATATGGTAATATATGGTAACATATGGTAATATATGGCAATATATGGTAATATATGGTAATATATGGTAATATATGGTAATATATGGTAATATATGGTAATATATGGTAATATATGGTAATATATGGTAATATATGGTAACATATGGTAACATATGGTAACATATGGTAATATATGGCAATATATCGCAATATATGGCAATATATGGTAATATATGGTAATATATGGTAATATATGGTAATATATGGTAATATATGGTAATATATGGTAATATATGGTAATAGATGGTAATAGATGGTAATAGATGGTAATATATGGTAATATATGGTAATATATGGTAATATATGGTAATATATGGTAATATATGGTAATATATGGTAATATATGGTAATATATGGTAATATATGGTAATATATGGTAATATATGGTAATATATGGTAATATATGGTAATATATGGCAATATATGGTAATATATGGTAATATATGGTAATATATGGTAATATATGGTAATATATGGTAATATATGGTAATATATGGTAATATATGGTAATATATGGTAATATATGGTAATATATGGTAATATATGGTAATATATGGTAATATATGGTAATATATGGTATTATATGGTATTATATGGTATATAATTAATATATGTATGGTCCGTGTTCACTTGATTCTTATGGTTACATAGTCTTTTATGTTGTAATTGATTGGAAATTCTGTAAAGAAAGAAATCTTGCGTGCACCAGATGATCCTGAGAAACCAGACCTTTGGATAGTTTATGCCGTTTGGTGGCTAGAGAACGCCATTTTTGAACTATTTTAGTTGGAACTTTGAACAGATTCTGATGGAAACTGCATAAACTTGCATAAACTTGCATAAGCGGCTTATATGTGATTCAACTCTAATGCTGCTTAAGTCTCTCTCTCTCTCTCTCTGATGCACAAACGACACATAAAACAATGGCATCCCCTGGGCTGCCTGGTCAAGGGCGGAAAAAACCGGAGCATAGCTGGCACAGCCATTACCAGTGACCAAATCTCCAGGGACCAAAAGAAACACGCCGTCTGTAGCCTCTGGTAAACGTTAACAAAAAACGATGGAAAATCACCATTTTTAATGGGTATATAAATCCACGAACTAAATCACCATTTTCAATAGCTTTTTGTATGTTTACCAGAGGGTAGCACGCTTCTCATCCGGTGTTGATTTCCAGTCTGTAGTCCCAATGCCATGTACGAGTGCTTGTGACAAGTGACAAGGACACATATCAAAAAAAACACTTAGCCGTCGACTCGACTCCCTTGACCGACTGGAACCCGGAACCCTGGTCACCAGTCGTTAATTGAGATGAGGCCGAAACCTATCTATCAACGCCCAAGAATCTCAAGTCAACAAAAATTGACGACTTTAGCAGTTTCCTGTAAATATTGACCGTAAAAGATGATCATTGTTTAACAACTATTAAACTAGCCCTTTACCTGTTGTCCCGATCATTATTTGCCAGTTTTGTCATTTTTTGTCAATATTTAATGATCAAACTCCTCAGTCCGTAGGTGACATCCCCACCTTTTGGATATAACACCCTTACAGTCAAGATGGAACCTAAAAGAAACTCGCATCTTGAAACCACTTGAATTAGCTTTACAAAATCTACTCAGATTGGGGTATGTATGATGAGGTTATATAGAGGTTTCCCTAAATTTGGGTACTGTACCCCCAATTCATCCAATTTATTTCGGATTTTGCATTGTAAAGCATTCATATTGGGTTTTTTCCCCATTTTGGGTATGGGTCAATAGCTATAGATACCATTTTTAGTGGGTTATTCACATCCATTTACCAGTTATTTTGATGTTCACTAGGTACCAGGGTTTTGACCCATCCCCAGTTGATTTACCATCTGGTTATTTCTTACATAGCCATGGTATAGATGGCGCATAGAAATAGATGGTTTACCTGGGTTTACCTATTATAAATGGTATGGGTACCAAGGTTTTGACTCATACCCATATATATATACCCTCTGGTAAACTAACGTAGCTATAGAAAATCACCATTATTAATGGGTAAATCCACTATATTCTACTATATTCCACTATAAAATGGGTATTTTTCCCAAGGTTTTGACTCATACCCATTTTGGGAATCTCCCCAAAGCCCCAGAGAAAGATGCCGCCAGCCTTGGGATCCAAAAACTCTCGCGCTGCAAAACGGTGCTGTCCCAACCTGGGACAGGTCGAGGCTTCTATTGATTCGACCAGGTGGATTCAACCAGTAAAATAGTGATTTTACTAGCAGAAATGTGGATTTACCCTCTGGTAATTTGTTACATAGCTATTGAAAATTGCCATTTATAGTGAGTTTTGCCACAGGATGGGGCCCCCCAGTGATGTTTGTGGGTTTATAAACCATGAAATAACCCCCTATGAACTAGTTCGTTATATCTACCATAAAGCCACTTATAAGGCAACTTAGATATCTTGGGGGCCCCATCCTCTAGCAGAAATGTGGATTTAACATGCTTTAACCACATTTCACCAGATAAAAAAACAGATTCAACCAGCAACAATGAAACTGGCTGAAAAAAACAATCGGATTGGTCTGGATCTGATTGGTGAGATCCTTATTCCCAAGATATGGAAAAATAATCCATTCATGTTCCAAACCACCAACCAGATGATATTTATGTCCAACAATAATCAAAGAGATTCTTGCAGTATTTGTGTAGGCGAGACGTCGGAGATGGATGTCTCCCAGACTTTTGAGCACTGTATCTCTAGAGGAGCGATCGGAAACCGGGATACGAGTTCATAAAAAAAAACCAAATCATGAGTGAACCAGTCTGGTTGGTGGTTGAGCCACTCCTCTAAAAAATATGAGTTCGTCAGTTGGGATTATGAAATTCGCAATATGATGGGAAAAATAAAATCCTATTGATCACCATAAAATCCCAGTAAAATCACATTAAATCATCATTGTTCTTAGTTTACCAGGCCGGGGAACCCCCAGTTATATGGACAAAACAAAATATATGTTAGCTATGGAAAACCACAATCCATTCATATGGTTTTTTACATATGTTTAGTTGGCTCCGGGGTGGTATCGGGCGTTCTCAAAAAGGTGTTTTCTACACATGGTGTCTTGTAGGCACTGTACCATGTGGGAGCAGATGAACAACATACTTGAAGGAGTTGCTGGTAGATGTCCTTGATACGGAAAGCAGCTTCTAACCTTGCATGTCCTGCCAGGTGTTGGGTGTTGCCTGCAGTGTGGCTGCATGGTCGCGGAGCGTGGTGGCGGAGCGGAGGCAGGGACGGTGCAGAGACTCTTTGGTGCTCGTGGCCTAGACAGCCGTCCCTGGAAGAGTACGTGGAGAATGCTCTAGGGATCTAGGGAGGCCGGGGGGTTGGGGACTCTTTGGGGCCCTGCTTCCCTGGAAGAGTACGTGGAGAATGCTCTAGGGATCTAGGGAGGGGGGGGAGGGGGGGTGGGGACTCTTTGGGGCTCTTGGTTGTTGAACTTGCTCCAAGAGTCCCCCCCCGCTCCCCACGGGTTCCCCAGGGAAAGGTCTCGAGTGCGCCAAGAGCTTACCAAGAGTCCCTACCCCCCCCCTCCCCCCCTCTCCCTACGGGTTCCCCAGGGAAAGGTCTCGAGCGCGCCAAGAGCTTACCAAGAGTCCCTATACCCCCCCCCTAACGGTCCCTAGAAAAGCGTCGCGAGCGCGTCAGGAGCTTCCCGCCCTCCCACCGCATGCAGTATGCTATCCATGTCCTGCCTGCATAGCACTCCCATAGCTTCATGCTCATTTTGCCACCCCTGGTCAGGCTGTCCTTCATTGAGTCGGAGCACCTCGAGGTGCATCTTGGAGTCAACACAGGTTGCCTCGCCATATTTCTTTAGTCAAGGCAAAGCTAGTCCAGAACTAATGCAGTCATTTAATGTCATCTAGCATTCAAGGATGGTCCTTGTGGGAGACACCACAGAAGGACATTCAGCATTCAAGGAAAGTCTCTGTGGCTCTGGGGAGGCCAGGGAAAAGGACACGCTGGATTGAAACCTATGATAACTTATGTGTGTCCCCTTTTTATCCCCTTTTGCTGCTCTGGGATGAAGCGCGAAACCCTATCATCATTTAATGTCATGCAGCATTCAAGGATGGTCCTTGTGGGAGACACCACAGAAGGACAGTCAGCATTCAAGGATAGTCTCTGTGGCTCTGGGGAGGCCAGGGAAAAGGACACGCTGGATTGAAACCTATGATAACTTATGTTTGTTCCCTTTTATCCCCTTTTGCTGCTCTGGGATGAAGCGCGAAACCCTATCATCATTTAATGTCATCTAGCATTCAAGGATGGTCCTTGTGGGAGACACCACAGAAGGACATTTAGCATTCAAGGAAAGTCTCTGTGGCTCTGGGGAGGCCAGGGAAAAGGACACGCTGGATTGAAACCTATGATAACTTATGTGTGTCCCCTTTTATCCCCTTTTGCTGCTCTGGGATGAAGCGCGAAACCCTATCATCATTTAATGTCATCTAGCATTCAAGGATGGTCCTTGTGGGAGACACCACAGAAGGACATTCAGCATTCAAGGATAGTCTCTGTGGCTCTGGGGAGGCCAGGGAAAAGGACACGCTGGATTGAAACCTATGATAACTTATGTTTGTTCCCTTTTATCCGCTTTTGCTGCTCTGGGATGAAGCGCGAAACCCTATCATCATTTAATGTCATCTAGCATTCAAGGATGGTCCTTGTGGGAGACACCACAGAAGGACATTTAGCATTCAAGGATAGTCTCTGTGGCTCTGGGGAGGCCAGGGAAAAGGACACGCTGGATTGAAACCTATGATAACTTCTGTTTGTCCCCTTTTATCCCCTTTTGCTGCTCTGGGATGAAGCGCGAAACCCTATCATTTAACTCTTCTTAGCCCTGCTTAATAGTTTTAATGTATTACCACCACCCCCTCTAAAAGTAGAGTTGTACATAGGTATCCCGGAGCCTTGTATATATATAAGCGGATAAATGATCCATATATATAATGTAAAGTTAGGATTAATAATCCCCGCGGTATTAATCAACCCCCTCTGCCCAATTTTTTTTTGGTAATCTAAAAAGAGGTGGTCCCCCAGGATTAATAAACCGTTTGGCTGGGACATGATTAATCAACCCCCTGTGCTGAAATCCATTTTTTATCCAACACTTTTTATTTCCAATTCTATTTATTTCCAATTGTTTTTTACATTTTTTTTTTATCATCATTGTTATACTTAAGGTTTAAGTTGATCATTGAAAATTTCAAAAAACAACTATTCCCCAAATGATCGATTTCTAATTAAAATCTTGATAAAAATCATCAGTTTGGATAGCTCCCAAAGGGTACCCCCCATGAGCCCATGTCCCCCATTAATAATAACCACGGTTTGCCCCTGAATAATAAACCACCTTTCTGATCCATGAGATTTTAACAAATCCAATGGAATTCTATTAAGATCTAATTGACGTAAGCCATATCCAAAGTTTTATGGTTCAGAGTTGCTTATTATTAAGGGGTGGTCAAGAAAACTAGCCAGAAGGTCCGACTGACCTACCAGGGGGGGGTTGATTAATCCGATGTTGCCATTATAATATAATATATATATGGATATTAGGTATAGAGAAACATAAAGTGTGCAAAAAATAATATGTGGTGATGGGTAATACTACGTGGTTCGGGATAGTACATCTTTAGTACGACACATGTTTGCATAGGCACATCGTATAATCCGGGTCATAGTCCAAATATTACATGTCTAGGGAAACGCAGACACAGACGTCTGACACAGGTCGCAAAGCAGCTATACGCCACTGTGGCCGTTTGGGTGCGCGCATCCAGGGAGGGGGAGAGGAGAATAAACAGAGAGACCGTAGCAGAGAGAACGTACAAGAGCATGACATACATATAGCGCACAGAGACAACATGGTAGCCTAGATGGTAGAAAAGAGATACTTTTTTTCCCTTGCCTCGCTTGCCATATCTTGCCATGCTGCGTTTGCCGTCAGAGGTTGTAGCTGAGCGTGCAGCGAACAACACGCCTGGGGTGCCTGCGCCAGGGAATCCTGCAGGAAGGAGACCGAATAGCTCGAGCCCCAGAACTCCCCCCGCAGATTGGTGGCAAAGGATGCAGGTTCCACCTGACGGTGTTCCGCAATCTCCGCACAGCAAAATGCTACAGCAGCGTGCCAGCAGGGGGGGCGGCTGAGACTGTACACGGAGAGGCGGTTTAATTAGTATGTGGCAGGCGCCGGCTTCGACAGGACCAGAAGACGGAACCCAGAGAAGGTGCAGGTGACTTCGTTTTTGCGTGGAGAAATATACGCTATCGCCGTTGTCACTGGCAGGCGCTGGCATGTGCAAGTGGTGTTTTTGCGTGGAAAATATATTCCATCGCCGTTGTGACTGGCAGGCGCGCGCAGTGTGCAAAAGAAACGCAGCTGGAGAGGGAGACTGGAGGGAGGAAAGACGCGGGAGGCTACAGACTCAAGAGAACCCCCTAAGGAAAGCCTAAAAGCGTGCGTAAAAACGCACGCCCGCAACCACCCCTTAACCGTTTAGTTATATGGAAAAATAATCCATTCATGTTCCAAACCACCAGCAATGTTCTCCCCCAATGTTGAAAAAGCATCCCATCATTCAGCTGATCGATGCTGATCGTATCTCCATTATTCTTACCAGTTGAACGTTTTTTTTGACTTCACGCAGTTTCGTGTAATCATATGTGACCATACTTATATTTCTGTATTTGTTTTGAACATCTATCTATTGGCATTACACTGTGCACATGCATCATGCGTTCATTGACAGTGGCGTCACTCAACTATCAGAATCCTCTCAGGCGGTCTTGTCCCACATCAGCATCATCTCTGAGGAAGCTTCGCTAATGCTCCTGTAGCTCGTCATAATCAACTGGGATGGCTCGCATTTCGTATTGCTCATCAGAAGAGGTACTCGAGCCTTGCCGCGTGCGTGGCAGGAGCAGGAGTGCCTTTTGTGCTTCTCTGACTTCACTGCTCACTGAGGCGGTACAACTCTCGAAGAAGTAGGTGCAAATGACGTGTTGCACACTCCAGGTTGGTGATGTACTGGGGCAGAACTCCTGGGACATTTCTTAACTGGCGACTGGCTTTCTCCAATAAATCAGCAGAGGCTTGAATCTCTTCCATGGAAACTTGACATAGTGTAAGCTGGCTGATCGATGTTGCCATGCGGTGAATAGCAGCTTCCTCCATTGGTCCACTACCAGTACACGAAACAAAGGTTCTGAAAGCTAAAAGGGAAATCCTAGGCATTGTGAGTGGTTAGCACCATGAATGTATATTCTAGGATTCTAGGTTCTTCCCATCAGTCTGACTGTTTTTCTAATGGTTATGAAATCCACGTATAGACCCGTGAATCATGATGAACAAACATGATTTCATATATTCTAACTGTATAAACATACATTATAACCACATTATAATTACCCTCTGGTAATTTGTTACAGTTTGCGAACTGGAAAATGGCCCAGTCGAAATAGTTGATTTACCCATTAATAGCATGGTGATGTTCATTGATTTTCCATAGTTATGTTAATTTGCCAGAGGGTATCTCCCATAAATCACCATGTTTCCCGTATTTTTCCAATAAATCACCATATTTTCCATAGTTTTGTGTATGTTTGCCAGAGGGTACGTATCTTATGGTTATTGGTGCATCCCCAAGATGCCGGAGTCCAACGTTGCCCAAGCCGGTTGCCGGATACCCCGAGTGGCTGGTAGACGACTTGCTGCGCCACATGCCGAGAAGTGGGAAAGCAGCATGGCACAAAGGCAAAACCTGAGACCTGGCTGCAGATAACGTGGTGACGGGTCATTGAGTTACTGGTTGATGTATGGTTATTATATGGTTAATGACGGTTAATAATAATCTTGTCATTGATATATGTGTCTATATATATATAATAGCTGCTTAGTTAGTATCTATATATATATAATGTTTTATAATATATATATATCTGGTTGGTGGTTAAAAAGACATCTTGAAAAATGATGGAGTTCGTCAATGGGAAGGATGAAATTATCCCAAAAAAATGAAATGGAAAATAATCCATTCATGTTTGAAACCACCAACCAGGTTATGTGTGCTGTTTCATACAGCCATTCTAAAAACTACAGTAATCATACACTACGATACTATAGTTATATCTCTCAATGGGGATAAGTTAAAACCCTGGCAGCCTACATAATTACTCGTAAATAGCCGGTAATTTCTTACAGTTTGCTATTGAAGCCATGGCCCATAGAAAGTTCGTGAATTTTCCCATTAAACATGGTGATTTTCAGATTTTCCATAGTTTTTTGTTAACGTTTACAAGAGGGTATTTCCTATTAATAGTATCCTCATTTGTGCTGCTTAAATCTCCATTTTCATCACCATAAATCCAATGGTTTCCCAATGGTTTCCCAATGGTTTTGTCAGATATCTCCATTATTAGTTGGATGTTTTTTTTCCCCAACGATGGGACAATTTCCAGGTACCTAAACCCATCCCCATGTATCAATGTGACGATCATCCCAATAGATCCAGGAACCCAGGTGCTCCATGGTGCTGGCATATTTACCTACAAAACTGGGCCCTAAAATTTGCCCAGTTTTGTAGGTGTTTATATTCCAGCAGTATGTATGGCATCTGGGATAGAAAAATGATCTTCATCACTAAAAAAGGGGTGCAGTAATTGGCTTTGAGTCAAAGTTTGAGCCCTACGAGACCACAGAAAAAATCTTGAATACACGTATTATTATCTAAATATGGGCTACCCAATTTTGACCCAGAAACTAAGAAACTCCATAATAAGTGTAGCCTTATTTCATGATATCCTTACGTAACCCATGATATATTTAATTAGGTCATCGACGACCATCCCAATAGTACTCCATCCATTCACCATCCGGGTACCGTGGTTCTGAACCGGACCATACCGGAACCATTATTTTATGTATATCATGGCTATATCATTACCTATTCATATGATACTTAATAAAGATAAGCTATAATGGCTATAATTGCTATATCATGGCTATATCATGGCTATATCATTACCTATTAAAGAGAAGCGAACATCTACCCAGTGGGGTCTCGCATAAAAAACACCTCCGCATTCTCATTGAAGAGCTGCGCAGCACGGATTCCCAACCTGGTGAGTCGGCGGGTCGGGTACCAACAATGAGGCTAGGGTTTAACGGTTTTACCATGTTTTACCATCAAACATAGGCTTTTACTATTAAAAGGACATTTAAAAAGAGGACTAGGAATTGAGTAGGGAAAAGATGGAAGGTCGTATTCTATCGCATGATGATTCTCATGATTCGTGGGACGTTCACTAGGAATAGGCTGGTTGGTGGTTGAGCCACCCTGAAAAATGATGGAGTTTGTCAGTTGGGATGAGGATTGTTCCCAATATACGGAAAAATTTATGCAATTGCAATGTACCCACATTCCATCCCATTGTGATTTCTAGTTGACACGGGGGAAAAAACCAACTCACGTACTCCCACACGTTGGAGGTCTTGCCAGTCGATGATACCAAAGGGATAACAAATGTGGTAAATTACAAGGTAAATCGACACATGTTGGCGGTCTTTATAAAGTAACATCATCATTGTTGTCATCATTACGACTATATACCAGGAACATCACTCATAATATCATCTAGAATGATAACATGAAATAGAACATATGCTGTAAAATATATCATTAAGAAGCACAAAACTCCAAGTCCAAACGCCAAAAAAAATATCAACTCCGTACCCAAGGTCAACTTTGTCAACACATGTCAAAACTAATGGTGAAACAGCATTTTTTTAAAAACGTTTCACCCCAATTGTCCCACCATGATGGTTAAATCCCTGGGTTGTTCATCAATGGATTCCAAATTTATCAGGCTTCAATGATGGTTGAATCCCTTTATCAAAAGAACTCATCAACCATGGCAAACTCCTCCAAGGCACGTATTGCACAAGTGAATGCCGCAGGCGAAGATGGGCCTCTCCCGCAGATCTTCACTCTGTAAAAGCCGCTCGGCGATCTGATTCAGGGTGGTCTTCCTGGACCGAGGGAAGAATTTCTCACCAAAATAAGGTACAAAACCAGCAACCACGGAGATACAAGCAACAACATGAAAATTCAAAGATCAGAAATCATTGGAATATGATGGAATATGACCAAGATGACGATTTAAATGGTGACTCAAAATTTATTCAATGGTGATTTAACGGGAAGATTAGGGAATCGAAGCAACCAATTCATGGGGTAAAAGAGCAAATCAGCAGAGAGAAGCAGCTGATGTAGGGGATGTAATGTGTAGCCAACAGTCATCAAGGGACTCAATGAATCAATGGGAATTTCAGGATCCTAAAATGGAGGTACTTATATAGGCCTTATATAGGCCTTATATATGGTAGGTACCTCCAATTTAGGTTCCTGAAATTGCCATTGAATGAAATACGGATTTTGATTGGCTTACGATGAACTAAGCATCCAACAGCAGTTCAGACAACACAAATGGCAATTGAATGCAATTTGACCGTCAAACGTCGGGGATGTAAACTAAATTGAGAATCATAGCGGACCATCAAACATCAAACGTTGGTTTGACAACAAAACATGTGGAAATTTAACTTACCATCTGGTCATTTAACCTAGACATGGAAAATCCCTCATAAATGGAGGTTTATAGCTGGGAAAATCATCTATAAATGGGCCATTTTCCATGGCTATGTTAAATAACCAGAGGATAACTGACATGGCCTGTGAACATGTGGCATACCTGACGTTCTATGACATAAAAGCCCCCATGTTTTCAAGCTTGACCGACAGCCAAAAGCGGAAAGGACTGGGAGACATCAACGGGCTGGGGTAACCCTACAAGCAATCACAGAAGAATGCCTGGTCTGTCGTATTCCAATGCGAGACTGTTAGGTCTATGATGGTCTATATATGTCTATATCCATAATGCACAAAGTATGGAAAGTTGATGCACTGATCACAATGCCCGACCTGAACTTGCATAATTTCCTGTGACCCACCAAATGATAGATGATCTGAGTAATAACTGCTGATCATTAGTTTGTTGATGGCTACTAAGCCCTTAATCAACCTACATTCTTTGGCAGATCATTTCGACGGTTGGTTGACCGGCGGACGCGGTTGACCCCCCTGTGATTGATATAAAAATTCCATGAAATTGCTCCAAGGTTCTCATATGATCTGTATTAAATAATTAAATTCATGTTAAATTCATCCAAATTTCTTCTTCAGATCGACTTAATTCATCCAAGTTTCTTCTTCAGATCGACTTTCAAAGTGTACATGGGTATTTGCCATTGCACTTTGTAGATGTGCTCCGTCGACGTGGTGCCGCTGGAATTGTCCACGCCCCGGTTGGCATAGCTCATGTCCTAAACGCGACGACGTCGTGAGGCCTGGGACTTCCACAAACCAAGGTGGGTTTATAAAGCAGATTCACAAACCATAGGAGAAAAAAATGGTATAACTATGGTTATAATAACTATGGTATCACAATTGTAGGTTATAACTATGATTATTTTGTATATCATAGTGAATCACAAACCATAGTTATAAAATATATATATATATTGATAAACAATAACTCCAATAACTATCAATTGTTTCTTTGTGTAACATAAACCATACCTATTGATAGTTATTGGAGTTACAAACCAACTTAGCCTTAGCTATCTAGATTAAATCTAGGGGGGCCCCACTTTGTAGATTTCAGGAGTTTTCAATCGCTAGAGACGACTGGAACACAATTTCAGGATATTATCGGATACGCCATCAGCAAATGTGGCCAGCTGGAAAAAAACCCATCGAAAATGGAGGTGTCGTTCGCAAAATCATCGAACTCAATGGGTTTAATTAAAGGGAAAATAACCTATAAATGATGAATTCTTCCATTGCCACGTTTGATGACACTGGAGGGTAACTGAGAACTATCCACTCGAGAAACCTCTTGGCAGAAGTTCTTATCCCTTGCCTGGTGCGACGTCATAGGCATTGGAACTATCTAAATACCGTGATTTTTCGGTGAGTATTCTGACACAAGTCCTTTCTGTGAACCACCATACTTGGTGGTTCATCCCAGTTTGAAAGTGGTTTACCCTCTGGTAAACTAACATAACTATGGAAAATCACCATTTTCAATGGGTAAATCCACTATAAATGGCCATTTTCAATAGCTATGTTAAATTACCAGAGGGTAGAAGTAGGCTTGAGTAGGGCTAGAGCTAGTCCAGTTGAAGCTCATCCATCACCCAAAACACCCATCCCCATAATCCCATGGTCCCAGAAAAGCGACCCAAAGGGATTCCAGCGATCATGAAACAAGTCCCATTTATGGATGGTTTCCCATGAAAAATGAGGATTTATGGATATTTATGGCTGATTCCCCCAATGAAATACACTTCATTCCCATGAAACACGGATGAGTCTCACAGTCCAAATGAGGATTTTCTGAATGGTCCCCATAAGTGCTGTTAATTCCATCGTTTTTCCCATTTGAATTCCACCCAAAAAATATCTTGCCAGGGAGCCATGAGACAAAATTCCTTCACTTTTTCGCCTGGGTTTTTCGCAGGTGAGGCCCCCCAAACGAAATCGCGAGATGTTGACGCACATAACTGCCTTGGGTTAACATTTAGGTTAATTGGTTTATAAACCAATTCATAACTGGGGGGCCTCAACTTGTATGGTTATATATATATATATACATAATCATTTACAACGGGACCTCCAAGTATGGAACATGGCCAATCTTAGATGGGGGGACAGTTCACCCTGGCAGAATTGGTTTTCACCCCAGTTTAGAGCTGGAATTATCTAATTGGTGGTTTCAACCCCCCTGAAAAATACCGAAAAATATTAGTCAGATTGGATCATCATTCCAACTATTGGGGAAAATAAAACATGTTCCAAACCACCAACCAGTTATGGTGGTAGTTGTTCATCACCGGCAAAAATGATAGAAATAGGTCTTGATGGTTTTGATCCATTTTTTTACCTGAGAAAAAGGTAACATTTGAGGTGAAAGGTCGGTCGTTTCATGATCACATAGCCAAGCAAAAAGCGGGCCGTTGAGCAACAATAACGTAGGACAACCTGGGATTCAACCCCACCAGGTCGGTGAACCCGCCATGATGGGAAAGACTCGCCCTTGTAAAGAGACATGGTTGTTGGTGGTGAATAAATGTTAAGCCCTTGATCAACTCTCATTGTTGGTCACCGACCTAGGAGGTGGCGAAATTCCCATGATGATAGAACTGGCAAAATTGTCTGTGAACAGCCGTGGTTCCACTGTTGACAAGAGGTTACAATTTCTCGCAGAATTCATCATGTCATAGATGATTGCTAGACACCGATCAAAAATGATGGACCCCGCTATTGGTTTGGTAATCTTATTGCCTCGTGACTATCATGCTAACCTTCCCGTTTGAGGTTGGAGTATCTATGACATTCTAAGACTATGATAATTACCCTCTGGTAAACGTCTACATAACTATGGAACATCACCATTTTTCATAGGTAAATCAACCATAAATGGGCCATTTTCCAGTTCGCAAACTGTAAACGTTTACCGGGGCGTCATTGGTTTTTCAGGTTACCTAAGCTTACCGGAGCGTCATCGGAAAAAAACCACCGTGAAATCCAGGGAAGCCATCCATGTGGCTTGTCTCCAGGACCCAGTACATCCAAAGTGAAAAAACATGGTCTTCTTGTCATTGGAAAAATGTACCATGGTTTAACTTACAAAAAATGGATATGGATGGTTTGTTTCATGTAGAAAAAATGTAATCATCCATGTTGTACAACAACAACATCAGAAAAATCAACAAAACATCAAATACATATGATATGTGGGTAAGACAATGTCATAAACCATCCCCCAAATCACCATTTTTATAGGTTGTATAAACTATTCCCAGTCATGGCTGGTTTATAACATTGCTTTACCCATTGGAAAATGCTGGAATCATGCAGATGAGGATCAAGTCTCTCAGGTCACAAATCTGGATGTACAAATGGAGGGGGCCCGACAAAACAATTGACAATTGCCAAAAAAAATTATTGAATAGGTCTATTTTTTTGTGACTCCCACTTTTTGGATTGTGGCCTCACAAAAAAAATTCTGGACACCCCAACTTTATGGGGTCAGTTCAGCGTGTTACCAACCGGTGTTCACACCGGTTTCTCCATGTTGCCCCTGATTTAGTGTCCATTCAGGGCGTGTACCCCATTTCAGACACCCACATACCACTATGGCTATATCGCTTGTCTGAAAATGGATCACCCCAAAAATTGTGAAAAATCATCATGTTCATCCAATTACTCTATTAAATTAAGATTGTTTTTGGAGGTATACCCTATGTTCAGATACATCCATATAGTGTATATATATATACATATCATATATATATATACACCATTGATGGCATATATCCATTGTCCATGAAGTACATTGACAAATACACCCATCATATGGTATATACCCATCATATGGACTGATGGCATATACACCCATATAGTACATATTTGTATAATTATATATAGTTATATATATATATATTCAGATACAATAATATACGCTTATAATATATAATATACATATATCTGGGCAAATTATAATAATTCACTAACATGAATAGTTCGGCCATTTGGGGATGATTTCCCTTACTAACCATGATTCCAGGGTTCGGGAGAACAGGGTTCGGTCGTGATGAAATTTACCCAGATATATCCCATTCTATACCCATTGATGGCATATCCCCAGCTTATCCCCTGGGCCATTGACCGTCCAGACGGTATCCCCTTGCGCTCCGCGGGACACGGCAGCAGTTCTGACAAGAACATGGACCTCAGCGTGTCGTAAGCACGGACAAGTGATCCAAGAATGGCACTTGGAGGCTCTGGGGTAAACGTTTACATAATGACATAGATATGACATAGATCATGGGTGTCATGGATAATCCAGGAACTTCATAAGGGCTTACTGTTCTCAAGCATGTGTTATGAGATAAACTCATCTGGTTGGTGGTATACCTACCCCTCTGAAAAATATAAAAGTCAGTTGGGATTATGAAATTCCCAATATATGGAAAAATAATCCAAATGTTCCAAACCACCAACCAGCATAGATATGACATAGATGTGGAAAACACATGGGGAAACACATGTGGAAAGGTAATTTTATGGTGATTCTGTGAATTCCTCATGGAATTTCATGGAAACTCATACTTACCCCGGGGTTTTCACATCCAAAAAGATGTGGAAAATCACCATGGGGGGTTTCCCCGTTCGGGTTTCATGATCTACAAATGGTGGGTGGATGCTATTGGTCCCGTGTGCGCCCATGGCATGGAATTCAGACGGATACTGGTTGGTGGTATACCTACCATTGTGGTTAATATACTGTTAATAATGGTTAATATATGGTTATTATATGGTTAATGATGGTTAATATATGTTTTTCGCCACCCCTCTGAAAAATATTGTGATTTTTCATGGGGATAACATATAAAAAATGGGATATGATTCCCCTATTTTGGATGATTTGGGAGTATCCCCATGCTAGAAAACCCTTGGTTGGTGGTTGAGCCACCCCTCTAAAAAATTTAAAAGTCAGTTGGGATCCACAAATCTCCCAAGTGCTCAGTCAAATTTGATGACCCCAGGTGTCGGATCACCCGGCTGATGCAATCGGCTAGATTCTCAAGTCTCTCTTGGCAGTCAAATCGATGCCTCTGATCATCTCCCATCCAGGTGTAAACCATGACCATAAACGACTGAATCTCAAGGGCTAACATTGGAAAGGTTGATAGAGCGGATCTGGTGTTGAATTTATATCACTGAAGCCAAAACGGACTCTGATGACCAATCTTTTGAACTCGAACTGATCTCTGCTGATCAAGTATCGGATTGAATTATATCGAAAGGTGATATGCTACCTTGTGAAATGATGACTCTGAGGCTTCTGATACGCCTTCCTTTTTGCTGACACAATTTCAACAACCTCATGACAACTCCGCTTCAAATTAATTGACAATAACGCAGTTCCCATCTGGCTTTCAAGGCACACAATGCAGGCAGGCTATGTGCAATGTTTCCTGTGGGTAAAGCCGTTCTTGCAATTCCATCTGGCCACTCTCCTTCAAACAGAGGGAGTTCACATAAGTCTTGTCTGGAACCAACAAAAGCAGAGGTGTCAAGCCAATCGTGTTTAGATTGATCCGGCAAAAGCACCGGCAGCGTCCTCAATAACTGCTGCCACGCCCTTATTCACGTAGACGTGTATGGAGGACGCCTACATGGAATGGAACTCGAACACTGCCTTGCGAACTAGGATTTGCAGCCAACCTTCACAATGAGGTCGCAAAGCATATGAGCCTCCTTCACGTCTGGCCTGATGCCAAGGGTGGGCCATGTTTTGTTGAGCGAGAACAAAATAGCTAGACTGTGTCACCGCACATGTTGTTCCTCAGCATGCTCAAACACTTCTCAGTGATGCGGCTCTTCCTCGCAGCTGTTGTAAAAAAATGACCACACCCAATCAAAAATCCATGCTCAAAAGCCCTCCAATATTTTGCGCAGACAGGTGTCAAGTATAATCTCCTGAGATTCATGATCTGCTCGACGATCCAACTCCACGTTCTGAGTTGAAACTGGTTTACTTTCTCTGCGTCGTGAAGCACACACTGAGGACATAACTTTTTAGGGAGAGAGAGTCTGAGAGAGAGAGTCTGAGAGAGAGTCTGAAAGAGAGTCTGAGAGAGAGCTTCAGAATAAAAAGACTCTGAGAGAGACTCTGAGAAAGAGAGTCTGAGAGAGTCGGAGAGAGTCTGAGAAAGCCTGAGAGAGTCTGTGAGAGAGTTTGGGAGAGTCTGAGAGAGTCTGAGAGAGTCTGAGAGAGAGTCTGAGTTTCGCTTGCCGAAACTCGTTTTTTTTTACCATTTTCCTCCAGGGCCGGTGCCTTGTGGAAGGGTAGGGGCTCCAAAAAGTGATTTTCGTTGGCCGAAAATCATTGTTTACCATCATCCTGCAGAGCTGGTGCCTTGTGGAGGGATAAAGGCTCCCAAAAAAAAAATGCCGAAAATCGTTTTTTACCATCTTCCTCCAGGGCCGGTGCCTTGTGGAGGGGTAAGGGCTCCAAAAAGTGATTTTCGCTCGCCGAAAATTGTTTTTTACCATCTTCCTCGTATCGTTCCCGCAATGTAAATGGGATTGCAAGTGGTGCTGGTGGATGAGTTGCCGCTGGAATTCCATTGTGATTTGCAACTCTAGGATCGTTCCCTCATTGTAAATGGGATTGCAAGTGGTGCTGGTGGAGGAGTTGCCGATGGAGTTTTGAAGGAAGTCTCGCACGAAATGCGTTTTTGAGAGATAGCAGATGCACTAAACATGTGACAAAAAAAAAGGTCTTTCAGATTTTGGCTGCTTTCATTTTCTATTTAGAATTAACTTTTTCTGCTCTGGCGTTGGAGCAGTGGGAAGTGTGAAGCGTGAAGTGTGGACTGTGAAGTTTAAGTTTGGAGTGCGAAGCGCGTACGACTACACAACTACACTCCACTACACTCCACTACACGAAATTACACTACACTACACTACATTACACTACGATACATTACAATGGATGACACTGCACCACAGATAGACAGGTAGACAGATAGACAGATAGATAGACAGATAGGTAGACAGCTAGACAGATAGACAGATGAAAGAGAGAGAGAGAGATATATATATATATATAGATAGATAGATAGATCCATAGGTAGATAGGTAGATAGGTACATAGGTAGATAGGTAGATAGGTAGATAGGTAGATAGGTAATGAGATGAAAGAGAGAAAGAGAGAGATAGATAGATCGATCGATAGATAGATAGATACATAGAAGATAGGCCGGTAGGTAAGTAGATAGTTAGAGAAAGAGAGAGAAAGAGAGGAGACCTCAAGCACCTTTCGGTCCATCAGTGGATTCGCTCTGCCATCCCTGATTCACAACAGCCAATCTCTCCTATAGGTTTCCTATTTTTGAAACTTCCACCACCGCCTTGTGCGGTACTACTTGTAACGACCTCAACCCCATCGAAAGGCAAACAAGGCCGATCCAGGCAGCTGCCCTTTAGTTTTTCTAGCCCTTTGTGAATTCAACATCTTTGATCAGCAATCTGCACCACGAAAGAACCAGTTTCAGGCCCCGACTGAGGCCCACGGAAAAACGCGATCGAAACGGGCTCTGCTTGGCAGGTTTAAGGAACCCTGACCTCGGGGCAATCAGCAGCCACTCATGAGAACAGCAAATGCAGGGTTTCTTATGGTTTCGTATGTTTCTTGATAAAATCCTGAATCCTGAACTTTCTCATTGCACAGCACACCCAAGACATGCCCCCATCGATACTCAAAGCTTGAATGACAACATCACCCTGCGCATCTGTTCCCTGATCAGATGCGAGATGAGCACGTCTGCCACACTTGATTCAATCGTTCTGCTGCACCTTGACTGGGCCGCCAAGCTGACGCAGGGACCGGAAGGCCCGTCCAATGGCAAAGCGGGCGCTTGGCAGTGCAAGTCTGTGAGAGCCTTGTTCGAACTTGGATCCCAAAATGTTAAGGCTGCCCCAGGTTCGCATTCGTGCAAGTGCACCTTCACGGGCTCCATATTTCTCGAGACTTGTGGTCTTGACGCTTCAAAACTGGCCGCGGCGTTACCGTTAGGTGCTCATTGCTTCTGTGCAATAAATACCTTTTTACTAACTATTACAAGGCTATTTTGTTTGCATCGCATGTTCTGGATCAGGCAAGATGCTGTGCAGCCCCCCCCCGCTTTTTTCCTCCGAAACAAATCAAGGCACGCTCTTTTTTTATCGACCTTGACAAGAAGGTAAAGTACAACTTGACCATCGTGATTACATCGTGCGAACAGCCTGTCAACTCGGGCCCCGGCGGAATGCTGAGGTCACACCTCACAGGCTGTCCAGTCGAAGTGTCTTTTCATTCAATGGTAGAAAAGTGTACATGACACGCAATCTCTTCCGTAATCAAGCCACTGCTCTACTTTTTTATCACAGAGTGCTCTATCACAGAGTCTTATGCTCCACAAGGGGCAAGCTTTTCAGACAGCCTGTCAGTCGGACGAGGCCGCCAAAGTGCTGGAAACTACTGTTTCCAACTCAAACCAGTCACGAGGCACGCGCACCAGATCTTGGTAAGGGAAATTCGATGTTGCAATTCGTTCAGCGTCACGAAATACAAACCAACTCGAAACTATTATGTCGTAATGCTGCAAAGACACAACAAATGAGGTTGAGGCTGTAGAGGAATTGATCAAGTTGTTCAATGGCATCCATGTCCTCGTCTTTCGTGGAAGAGTTGCCGAGCACGATGGCCTCACAGGCAAAAAGTATTAGCGTGTCGTTGCACTCGTGCCCTCTCCAACCCACTAATTTATTTTATTTGCAGACAAGACGCCGCTTCCAGGGCGGCACCAACCACGGCCTTATTGGACGCCCTCCGTAAAGTGCTTGGCGACAGCCAGCGAACAATCAGCAAGCAATTCCACTGACCTGCCCCGGGAAAGCTCGAGGTGTGGTAGGCATTGTGGAGCTCTTCTCGCCTAACAATCTAAAAGCTCGCACCGACTTATCACAGAGTCTGACAATAAAGCAAGAAGCTCCCTGGCGCTGAGATTCTGACTGTTTCTTGGGCATGTCCAAAACGGTATCGAGCCACTGTGTGATGCACTGGACCTGTAAAAGGTGACAACGTGCTGCGCACAAAGTCCTCCAGAGAAACTGCAAGGCCACCCTCTTCTGCGCGGCATCAAGCGAACGACTCCAGGCAACTAGAGTCTTCATGGAGCTTCGCACGGGTGGCAACATAGTCGGCGAAAAAAAACAAAAAGGGAGTTGATTTGAACAATCTGTGGACAGTTGCGGATGCAGTGAAGTGGCAAAGATGCTCAATCATCAGTGCTGAAAACACATTTCATGGCGCAAGTCTGAGGTCGGTGCACTTGAAACGATGCACTTGAAACGATGAAGACGTGGAGGCCCCGCTCATCACCTGTGTGAACATGGGCATTGATAAAAAAAACTAATGTGTCGATGAGAGTTACAAAGGCACTGTCTATTACCACACAACTCCTTTTTTCCTCCGTCGCATCGTGATATCTCAATGTTCTGCCGATCAAATGGCCATGGATTTCAAAGTTCCTGCCGGCTGTTGATCAATGCACCGGAAGCACCAAAGGCCCAGCAATGGCTCGTCACTGTGACGAGGAATCGGGTAACTGCAGCGACGCCCAGACGGATCTTCGTGATTGCACCGATGCCCGCACATGACGCAGGGCGGCACTGCGGCCCGGCAGCAGTTCCAGCAGCATCGCTTGTCGGTCATCTGCCAGTGGCTGTTCACGCCCCCTTGCGGCCGTCTGCACAAGAAGCACGGCGGGGGGGGCGATGGCGTGCGCCCGCGGCGCCTGCTGCTGCGCGAGCTCGAGGTCAACGAAGTCGAGGTCGAGCAGCTGCTGTAGTGGCGACGCCGACCGCCTCCACGGCGATGCCTCCGCCCATGGCGGGCCCTGCCCCTGCGAGGGGCCGGCGGGGACACGCTCCGGCGACTGCGGCTCCTCACTCTCCGGGTCCCCAGGGGAACTGCGTTGCCCTCGGTCAAAGGTGTGGTGGGCTCGCGGCAGATTGGACAAGAAGGCAGGACCACGGCACATTCAAGGCACAGCACGTGGCTGCAATTGCTCAAAAAGACTGGCACCTTATGAGCGCTGGGGTCGTTTTGATCCCAGTGCATCTCTTCCAGACAGACACTGCAATTGTCTTTGCGGCCTGTAGGCCGCACGCAGCTCATGTTGCAGGTGACGCAAGGCCGGTGCCCCTAATTGAAGGATGTCTTTCGGCATGCATTTGAGAATGCATGCTTGAATCATCTGCAGAGGTGGTCCCAGGCGCCTCTTTTCTTGAGCTGCCTCTACACCAGACAGAGCAGAAGTAGACTGACAGAGCCAGGTGTTTACTCGTTTCCACTCTCGCATGTTCACAGCAACCTGCAATGATACCTGAAAGTGTCAGAGACATGGTACTATAATGTACGACGTAAAATAATATCTATAAATTCAGAAACGATGTCGCCTGCCCCACGCCATGGATGATGCTGCCAGCCATTTGAGCAGCACTGCTTCTACGGCGCTACGGACATTCCGGGTGTGCCCGGTTGAAGCACGAACATTGCATTCGGAAAACTGACATATCTGAGACGAAAATCAAGGATAAAATTCTGATAAAATCACTCAAAACTCTTGCTTGCTCGCACACACATTGAATTGTTTTGCCACATGTCTTCCTATTCTTGCACAAGTGCCGCACGGGGATGATGCAATCAAAAGAAAATCAATCATCTACCACACATCGCTTCGTCATCATGCAACATCCGATGAAAGTCATAATCCAAATGTTCCAAACCACCAACCAGGATATGGGACATTTTTTGGAAAACAATCATGGCTAGTGCTAACAATCACCAAAGTGGTCCCATGGATCTTACAGTAAATGGTCTTCAAGCTATTGACCCATAGCCAATATACAGTGGGGCTAGCAACAATTGATTGGAATAGTGGAACTGGGCTGCCGTGAGTCTTATGAATTCTTTACCAACTTCAATCATCATGTAGTGCCCAATCGTTTGTGGCAAATAAAACGCAACTGAATGATGAAATCATATAATATATAGTTATGGCTTAGTGGCTTATCAATGCACTGGGTTTCCGTTGGTTTGCCACATTGTCACATTGCAGTACAGCTTTGTGAACTCAGGGTAGCTTACCTAGCTTGTATTTAGCATTTTTCGGTAACTAGATTCTGTAACTATTTCAATCATGTTGGCTGGATAGACTGCGACAGTGGCGTATCATTTTGGACCCTTACTGGCAAGTTCCACTTTAGATTGAGGTCTGAAACCACTCCATTTTTGGGGGGTCCACAGTGTCCACACTCCCCTCAAAGATAAGATGGAACTCATATTGCAATTTGCCAGTTCACAAATCCTCTTCCGCCAGTTTTGTGCCTTTCAAAATCATAATTGTCTAGTGTACACAAAACATGAATCCATCAAATTTGAAATTCCGACCAAATCTTTAACTTTAAGAGTCCCAGATTTTTTCCAGGTTCCATCAATTTGGGAGGGATCAACACCTCATTTAGCATATTTCGGCGGACGTGGCGATAGCTCCTCAGGAAAATCGTCCTTCCAGCAATATTTTTATCAAGATCACCATGTCTCCGTACGAAAATCACCAGCGCCAACAGGCGTTGCTCGGTGAAAACAACCCATCCAAAGGTGCTCATCCGAGCGGCTTTACGACGGCCACGGCACTTCTGCTTGCCGCAATTGAGGCTCCACCTTAAGTTTATTATCTTATGTTATGTTTTACCATATAATATAGTAGCTTTGTATAATAACATGGAACCCAAGACCCATGACCAAAGTTCAATCCGAAAATCATCTTCCAACCCTCATGAAATATTCCATTCGATGAACTTAAGGGAGGTAAGCAGCTCTTCATTGATTCTTATTGATATAATATTGACATATATTACTATATGATATCCTACCAATCATTGATATGATATAAGAATATGGCATATACATACTCATACTAGAATCATTACTCATTGGTATTTTTATTTTTCCATATATTGGGAATAATCATCCCAACAATTACCCCCTGGTAAACTAACAGTTTGCTATTGAAAATGGCCATAGAAATAGTTGATTTACCCATAAAATGGAGATTTTCAATAGCTATATTAAATTACCAGAGGGTATGCATTACTATCCTACTAATTATACCAGTTATATCATGTATACAAATATATATATATATATATCATATTCATGGTTGTATTTCCTATTATATATGAGTGAATATGGTGTATCAATTATATTATACCAATTATCCCAGGTGTATCATTATATCCATCATACCAATTATATTCATTATATCATATATATATATAATATATTCCCACTATCCCACTATATCATATACCATCTATATCACATCTATATACCATCTATACCACATCTATATCACATCTATATCCCAACTATCTAACCATCATTAGATACTAATTATACTAAACATATATTATACCAACTATAATTCGATTTTTCGCCGTATTCTAACATAGTCCAGACATGTAATCCCAACTAACTGTACCATCTATATCATATACCACTATATCAATATATAATATCTAACATATTCATATTGAGTCACCTGAGAGAAATATCATTATCATATGATTCTATATCATATAATATCTAACATATCTAACATATTGATTTAATTATCACAGGTTGGGATTATGTGGTATAATTTATGATACACATATACATATGTATATAAAACATATTGGGATCTAACATCTTCTATATATATATATATATATCAGTATATCATACTTAAATATATATATATTCATTATACCACTATATATATACATGAGTCACCCCCATCATCTATATTATCAGATCTAACATATCATATATACCATGTGTATCATTAGATACTAATTATACCAACTATAATTCTAAGATATTCTAATATTATACCAACTAATGATACAGTACTAATGATAGAATACCAATTAATTATACCATCTATATCAAATACCACTATATATATATCATATCTAACATATTCACATCTATATCATATACCATTATAGTTTAATACCATCTATATATATATATATCGCATATCTAAATATCATATATCTATATCATTACACCATCCCTATCTATTATAGTGGTATACGATCGATATATACCATTATCACATCCCTTTTCTGAGTCACCTGATGAGTCACCTGAGTTCATCTGTCAGGTCACAGGAAGCCGAAGCCAGCACCCAGGTCCAGGATACAGGCCTGGACCAAGGTGAACGGAACTGCAACCTGAGGTAGCCTCTATGTAAAGATGGGAAAATCTGGACAAAATATCAGAAAACTATGGGAAAATAGGGGAAATATGGAAAACAAAATGAGAAACTACGGGAAAATATGGAAAATCGTATGAGAACAATATGGTAAAATCTGGGCAAACACCCTGCAAGTGGGTGAATCAAACATGGTTTCAATGGGGAATGCCCGAAGTAAATGCGTATTTCAATGAATTGTTCATTGCCATGTTTGTTTCCCGAGGGGTAAACCCAAGGTGTGTCAGAAAATGTGGTAATTGTGGGGAGTTACATGTAGCTACATATACCCTCTGGTAAAAGTTTACATAACTATGGAAAATCACATTGTGTTTATGGGAAAATCAACAATTTATATGGCCATGTTCAATAGCAAACTGTTAGTTTACCAGAGGGTAGTTGTTGTAGAATTATGGGAGACTTACAAAAAAAAAACTCTGAGTGAATTCATCTTTGAGTAGCGGAAGGTAAACTCAAGGTGTGTCTGAAAATGAAGATTACTGTTCCATCGTTTTGGGAAGTGCTATAATGATATGCAGCAACCTTCATTTTCAAAAAAAGTATGGGATATAATTACCTAATTTTCAAAAGAAACACTGAAATTAACGAGTTTTGAATATTTTTTCATTAAATATCGTACTTTTCCATGAGTTTTTCAAGGAAACGTGGCCGCGCCACATAGACCCTAAAGTTCCCTCATACGGCCCCGGGGTCCACCCCATCCCATGAAATCTCACGCAGCCCAATGGCGCAAGACCCGGGGGTCTGTGGAGGGGCCCACTCTTTGGCGAATGGGTTGAGCGCGCCAGGGTGCATTGATGCATATCTCCTGTGTCGAACAGGATCAAAGGCGAAGTGGCGCAAGAGCGCGTCCGCCTCCGCGACGCTTCTCGCCCTCGGCGGCGTGGCCGTGGCCTTGGCCCAGGCCGCCTGTAAGAGGCGTGGAGGTGGTTGTACCACCGGGGCAACCTCCTTAGGCTGCTCGTCCGACATGTTGATGAATCCTCAGAAATCATCATGAATGTTGATGACACATACTTCTGGATGAATCCTCAGAAATCATCATGAATCATGCCATTTGGTTGATAACAATCCCACAGAATATCATAGAATCCCATATTTAAGTCCTATTTTGCTTGGTTTACTAAGCCATTTCTTGATCATTGAATCCCAAAGAATCCCTGACAACTAAAATCCAATTGACCATAAGGAATTTCGTGAACCCTAATTTTAGCGAATATTCTGATGGTGGACCCTCAATAAGCGTTTTGACTACATGAAAGCTCAAAACGGAAGGTTTTTGCGCTTAATTTTCGATGATTCTAAGTTGAAAACGCATATTGAGCAAGTGGTTTTCCCGGTGGTATGTGCAGGACCTTGCCCGGACATTCAACCCGCAAACATTGTCACATCTTGCCATTCCTGAGCTTAAGGTTTATTCAATTTTCTGATAATGATTGCACTATATGCGTTTTGAGTGCTTGGAGAGTGAAAAACAACATTTGCTGTTTTGCTTTTTGACAAATTTGACTGTAAGTTTGCATATCGCCTGTTTGGAAGTGACGGAACCACAAAAATATTCACTTTCCTATATGCCAATCTGCGTTGATATATTCATTTAAGTTTTATTTTTGTTGCAGTGGAATCTCAATATAGCATGCTTCTCGGCTGGATGATCCTGAGCAGCATTCTCACAACTAAATGTTATTATTATTATAATCCCGGAAAGTCAAACGAACAAACGCTTCATGAAGAAACAACATATTCATGTTGGCATGCGGGCGCCAATAACAAACAAACAAGTCCGAGGACAACCGCCCCAATCTTTCAAAGCCAAACGGTTTGAATCGTTGCCGCTCTCAAATTTTGAAAAACGGTCCCTATAGTAAATTTCTGACGTTATCCTCCGAAAACTTTGGTGATATGATATCATGTGACATCCTGAGAAACTTATGCTGATCCTCTGGGCTGGTATCAGAAAATCCTGATGATATCCCCAGAGTTTGTGGCTGGTATCGTGATAAATTTCTGCTGAAATTTTGATCAGTCCATTCTGATGATATCTTCAGACAGGTCCGATAATTCTCACAAACTTCTGATGATAATTCTGATGAAATCCTTAGAAAGTTATGATGAGACGTGATATCCACAGAAAACTGTCGCAATTTGCGCTGAAAATATTGGCAGTGTTTTTTGAGTACAAAATATCCTCGGACTTTGTAGCTGATGTGTTGCAACAACAACTGATCCTTGATTAGCATGTTTTAATTATATATCAGAACTTTTTGATGGTTATCCAAAAATTCTGGAGACTCCTCAAAATTTACTGAGGAAACCTCAAAATTCTCGGAGGAACCTTCAGATTTCCCTGAGGCATCGTTAGAATTTTTTGAGGATCCTCATCCTCAGACTTTTTGAGGACCCTCAGAATTTTCTGCGGATCAGAAAGTTCTGAGGATGAGGATCCTCAGAAAATTCTGAGGATCCTCAGAAAATTCTGGGGAAGACGATCCTCAGAAAATTCTGAGGATGACGATCCTCAGAAAATTCTGAGGAGTCTCTAGATTTTTTGACAATCATCAGAAAAATAATCTGTTAATGACAATTCCACTAATCATCGGATATATCCGGTGTTCGTCAGAACGATGATCCTCGCAAAAAACACGTTTCTCCAAGAGCAAAGTTAAGCACGAAGCAAGGCCCTAGTGTACACAGACAACACTCAGTGTTTTACTTGTTTTGTTTGCTTTTTCCCTGGCCATCAAAGCTATACAGTATTCATTTTTAAATTGACCATAACATTATGATAAGCATCAAATGTATTTGATATTCAATCACCAGATATATCCAGTGATTGTCAGAATGAAGATCCTTGGCAAATCTGATTCTCAAAGGAAAAACAAACACAAAGCCGCTATTTTGTATACATACAGCATGCGCTGTTCTACTTGTTGTGTTTGCCTCTTTTTCCTTTCTCAAAATTACAGAATGCATGTCGCGAAAGTGATATCCTGATAAAATCCTCATGATATCCTTCAAACGTTCTGATGATCATCTGCAAATTCTGATATTCTCGGAAATGGTTCATGATATCCTCAGAGAAATCTGATGACCCACAAAAAATTCTGAATGTATCCCTCAGAGGTTCTGCTGATCCTAGAATCCAAGAACATCCTACCCTCTGGTAATTTAACATAGCTACTGAAAATGACCATTTAGTTCGTGGATTTTCCCATTAAAAATGGTGATTTTCCATAGTTTTTTGTATGTTTACCAGAGGGTAGATGCTTTTTGATGATACCGTCATAGAATTATTTCTCAGAAAATTCTGACCCTCAGAGATTTTTTATCCTTCGGAAACTGCGATGGCATCCGCAAAACAACATTTCCATCAGTTTCCAAAAGTGACATCCTCCAAAATTTCCCATCTTATCCTTTGAAAATGTTACCATGTTGTTCATTTTCCTTTAAGCAGTTTTATCATGTACATCCAAAAAATCTTGGACACTGTCTTGATGTACGTTCAGGATATTCTGACTGCCACAAGAACCTTCTCTTGATATATGTGGAGATCCTGAGAAAATTCGGATGATATCCTCACACAATCCGATGGTATTTTCCTCAAACCCAGAAATCCGCCAAAATTTTATTTCACACTGAAAAGGCAAATTAAGGTCCCTGCAACCCAAAGTACATTAAACACGCATATTACACAAAAAATGGACCTCGCAACATGTACTATTTTTTTTCGATGGTTCCCTTCATTCATGGTAAATGTTGGTAAATGGGTTTTCCTGACATACCGGTAAGTGGTTAGATTCCCCAATATGCGTTTATGGCGCACATTTTTTTTTTTTGATACACCTTAAACGCATATTGACCCCCCCCCCGCTAACAGAACTGGACCATAAACGAATATTGGGCAAATAAACAGGACTTCACGAAATTTACTAATTGACCATAAAAACTATCGATACTAATAGAAGATGAATTTACCTTCCGGGCTAATTGGATACTTTAAGGGACATCTCTATACTTTATTTTCCCTTAAACTCAAAGTTGATTTCTTTAACGATCCCTTGGTCACTGGCCATCTCAGGAACCTAAATTGGAGGTACCTACCATATATAAGGTCTATATAAGGCCTAAATTTCAGGGAATATCCCCAGAAAATATGGCCTAATATATGGTACTAACGTACCTCCATGTATTGGATCCTGAAATTCCCATTGACTATATGGTTATTATATGGTTATTATATGGTTAATGATGGTCAATAATAATCTGGTTGGTGGTATACCATGGAAAACCATCTGGTGAATCCCTGTTGAAGATCTCACTGGATCATCCCATCGCAACGCGCGCCTTGGGTGCTGTTGACGGCAGCGCCTCGACCCAGCGGCGCACGCGTTGAATCACCGGCGCCGACTCATTCCTCGCAGCGCGCGAGGAAGCGGAAGTGGTTTACCATCTACCAACTGCTAATATGATGATATTAATCATATTAATATATATATATATGTGTGTATGTATATATATATATATATAATTATATATATAGATAGATATATTAATATAGAGTACAATTGTGGGTATAATCATTATGATGATTATCGTATGATTATACCAACTGCTAGGTACTAATAATTACAAATATGGGGGTTTCCATAAATGGGGAATCCTCAAAAAAGGTTCGTTTATAATGGAAAATCCGAAAATAAAATGGATGATTTAGGGGTACCCCCATTTCAGGAAACCTCCATATGAGTATTGGTTTACCTCTTAGTATGATGGGTAGCATGAGTATTGCTATGATTCTTAGTATGAATATTATATCGTATTATTATTTGTATCATTGTTAGTATGATTATTAATATGATATATGATGAGTATGATTAGTATGATTAGTATGATTAGTATGATCCATGAATATAATAAGTAATCTTCTGTTAGTATGAGTCATATGATTGGTAGTATGATCTACTATCATAGTACACTGTTCATAATTCATAATCATTGCCCTCTGGTGTCATCAAACATGGCAAGCTGAAAAATACCGCACTAAATGGAGGCTTATAGCTGGGAAAATCAACGAACTATACTGACACATTGGTGGATTGAAAATAATTGCTATTTTTGACTACCACAGGGTACCGACCAGCGGAGATTTCACAAACAAAATGTTGATTCATGGGATTTAATAATGGTGATATAACGGGGGTTGATTCGTCATTTCTTCACTAACCAATCAAGAAATTGGGGTTTAACCTTTGTTTAATGGATATTTAACCAACAAATATGGGGATATGAGAGGATATAAATGGTTCTGACCTACATTGGTTTGGGGTAACTAAAAAAGAGATTGGAACTTTACAAAAGTCAGGTATTTTTGCAGACTACCAACTTACCCGACATTGGTATGTCTGAAAATGTAGGGAAAACCCCTGAAATCCAAAGATTCCCGACATCATTTCCCCTCCGTACAAGGGTTGATAAAAAATTTGGTGGGTGAAAATGGTAAAACAAGCCAGTATGATTATTAATATGATATATGATGAGTATGATTAGTATGATTGATTAGTATGATTAGTATGATCCATGAATATAATAAGTAATCCTTGTGGATATAATTTCCCTCGGGCTTGGATCAACCGTTTGAGGTTTTCATTGAAATCTGTCTCTGCTGGACTTTTCTGAAAAAACGTCGATCGACTTCCACATCGAACTCCACGTCATTGTCGAACTAACCATGCCGGGATTTTTTTTTGGAGCAGTCATCAACTATAATCTGCGGAGCAGCGCATCAAGCATACCGGAAACTCCAGCCTTTGGACCCCTTTGGGCCCCTTTAGCTACCGGAAACTCGTGCTGTGCGGTGACAATATAGCTGTATCACTTGGGCCTTGTAGAAGTTCATAACTGATTAGTCTGGCCCATGGCCTTTTTGATATCCAAAAATTGGATTTAGGCATGTTAAATTGTGGTGATTTTCAGGTTCATACCAACAATCAGCCGAACAATGCCCGTATTTTCAAAACTGTTAAACTGTCAGCGTGTACATACCCATTAACCATTGCTTCGAATACAAATACCCATTGCAAACCCATTATATACCCGGTACATACCCAGTATACCAATTGTATCGTATATTATATTTCCACTATTAACCAACCACTGATTATTGGGGAAGGGATGTGTCTATGTCTCGATCACCAAGTCACAGCTCTTTCAAGACCGAAGGTACTTGGTGCGCTGATCCCTGAACCGCGGCGAAATGACAGATGCTGGGAGGATTTTTCAGCATTGATATGCATTGATGCTTAAGTTTATGGTTAAAGTATATTTTTCTATATGATGTGTTGTGAATGCTTATTCAATAATTTAAGCATCAATAATTCTCAATGGGTTAAAGGATAACCTCCAGCAGTTTATGGGGATTTCAATGGATTTCAGCAACAGGGATACCTGATGGGGATTTATTTCACGTGTCCTCCATGGCTGTTGTGGGATTTTCCAGTCACGTTTGGGGACACGTGAGGTCCAGCTGGATGATACAACTCAAAGAACCTGGTTGGTGGTATACCTACCCCTCTGAAAAATACGAAAGTCAGTTGGGATCATGACATTCCCAACTGAATGGAAAAATAATCCAAATGTTCCAAACCACCAGTAACTCATGATCATCCAGTTCCATCCAGTTGGCTTATCAAAGTTATCATCTATACATGGCGAATTCTGAGTTGTAGGACTTATCAAGGGTCGGAGATCCTGGCAAAGAACTGGCCAAGTTGATAGATCATGGTAGATGTGCAGGGGCCATCAGGGGCCCAGTAACAATCTTAGTTCACTCAGCTATATTTAACGGGTTGGTGATGGTGAACATTTATGGTTAATATATATATATATATGGTTATGATGATGGTTAATGATGGTTAATAATAATCTGGTTGGTGGTTGAGCCTACCCCTCTGAAAAATGATGGGGTTCGTCAGTTGGGATTATGAAATTCCCAATATATGGAAAAATAATCCAAATGTTCCAAACCACCAAGCAGTTTAATATGGCATGTATTTATTTCCCCAGGCCGGGGGTGCCCAGAGGTTTATCATGTGACCAAGTCTGTAGGGTTTGTTTAGGGTTTATTTCAGGGTTTCATTTAGGGTTTTTATTTTCTTGTTTATCACGGCTTTAATAAGATTTTGCTCTCAAGGCTTACTTAGGGTGTCATTTAAGATTTCGGTTTTAGGGCTTATGATGTCGGGTTTGGAGTTTAAGGTTCTGTGTCTTGGAAACAAATCTCGTCAGCCATTCAGGCAATCCGCTGACATCCCAAAATGCAAAAAAAACTCGGCCCTGCGCAGTCAAAACACACTTCCCCGGGCAGCACCCCCGTCCTGGCCGTATTTAGTTCATAAATAATAACACTTAACACTTACCCTCTGGTAAATTAACATAGACCCTGAAAATCACCCATTCTTATTGGAAACTAATCTTCCAACCCCAAAAAATGCCAGGGTCCAACTGTTAATTTACTGGAGGGTACTAACTGGGACATCCAAGCAGACCATGGCTTTCTGTAGTTTTTTTTTTAGCAAACATCATCCCATTTCGAAATGGGTCAAATGTGGCAAACCCTCTGGTAAACATACAAAAAACTATGGAAAATGGCCATTGAAATAGTGGATTTACCTATTAAGAATGGTGATTCTCCCATCAGTTTTTGTATGTTTACCAGAAATTAATGGGGAATCCAATCCCGATCAAGAATGGAGGTGTTTTTAAGCTGGGAAAATCATAGGGACTATCCACAATAAGCCAAATCATTCCCCATTGATCCGATCACCCATCTAGTTAGACGTTTGAATCAAGGTTGTGAACCACTTTTCAATCCCTTCCCCGGTTCAAATAAGAGAACCCCCCTACATCCACCACGGTTTAGTAGGAGATATCACATATTTTGGGGACCATAATGAACATTAACATTAATGAACCATACAATATTTTTGGGTATAGGATTACACAAGAAGCCAACTTGGATGGCTGAGTTGCTATTAATTGTTTTCATTTCTTTGTAATGTCAACCCCGGATTAATAAACCATGGTTTATTAATTAAGGGGGGTACTCCTCCAATAGTCATTTCATCTAATACTTTTTTATGGTACCCTCCCAATTAGTCACAGCTGTAAACGGGGTTTATTAATCCAGGGTTGACATTATATATACCCTCTGGTAAACGTTTACATAACTCATGGGAAAATCACCATTTTCAATGGGTAAATCCACTATAAATCTATCTGGGTAAATTATAATATTTCACTAACCTGAATCTTGCGGCCATTTGGGGATGATTTCCCTTATTAACTATGATTCCAGTGAGGGAGAACAGGGTTCGGTCGTTATAATTCACCCAGATCTATGCCCTTTTCTGGCAAAGTAGCCTCTGATAATTTGACTGCTATGACAGTCATGGCCCATTTGGTTTTTCGATGATTTGCCGCAAAAATGGTCATTTTTCCAGTTCGCGAAGTGTGAAATCACTAGGGTTGATGATACCCTCTGGTAAACATACAAAAAACGATGGAAAATCACCATTTTTCATTGGTAAATCAACTATAAATGGCCATTTTCAATAGCTATGTTAAATTACCAGAGGGTAATGGTGGTTAATGGTGGTCTGGTTGGTGGCTTGCACCAACTTGCAAAATATAAGTTCGTCAATGGAAGGATGACATCCCATGTATTATGGAAAATTAAAAAAATGTGTGAAACCACCAAAACCAGATAGTAAAAACATATATTAACCATAGATTAACCATATATTAACCATCATTAACCATTGATAACTATCATTAACCACATCAATTGGGCTTTGAATTACCAGAGAACTGCGCCGAACTGCGCCCTGCCCTGTCCATGTCCCGCTATAGCGGCCTTGCAAATCTTCACCATGCGGCTCCACACTTTCCTGAGTTTTGCCGGTGAAACTGGATGAAGAAGTTGGAATTGCTGCGACCCATCTGAAAGGAAAGGAATGGAAAGGATAGCAACCGGACCAACCAACATAAACCAAAATAGTGACGTGTAATTTCTGATGACGTCACTATCATGAGGTTGGGAAAGTCTATTTGTAGCTCCAACTGGCTCCCCATTGTTCATTGGAAATATGAATACCGCGAATTGCCCCTTCTAATTCACCAAAGCCATTGCTTGGTTTGGATCATGTTTTAGGATGGAACAAATCAAGTATATGGAAGTGCTAAAGCAGTGCAAGGACAATAGGCCATCTCTGCATTTGGGAAAAAAGGACAGAAAAGGGATCTACGATACATCAAGCAAAACAATGATTTTCGCGACTAAGATAATACATGACTACTCTGCTGACAATACATCAAGCAAAATAATACCTTCCCCCGATTATATTCAACACCTCCCAGAAACCATAGTTGAGTTGGGGATGAACTAGAATGGGATTATATACACATCCATAAACCATAGATGAGACTGGCACCATGAGACATAAACCATCACATATGACTGGGACCATAGAATGGGACTGTTCAATACCATGGGGGAATTGGATTACACATCAAGTTTCTGACTCGACTTGACAGCCGCGACTTTTACCTGGAATGGGTGGTGTGTATATAACCATCCCCAATAGTAGGATTATGGCCTTGGCTTTTTCATATTAGTACAATGTGGGCCCTCCCAGTTATAAGTTGGTTTATAAACCCCACTCTAGTTATTTGCGTATCATATGAATCATAAACCAGAGTTATTGGAGTTATGTGCACCAACTTAGCCAACACACTGGGGGCCCCACATTGTAAGTGGTTCATAAGCCTGATTAAGTCTAACTAGGTCAATGGCAATTTCAGGAACCTAAATTGGAGGTACCTACCGTGTGTAAGGCCTATTCTTGAGGCCTATGTAACGGAATATCCCAGCAAAATATGGCCTTATAATGCCTTATATGAGTCTGATATGGTACAGTACCTCCATTTTAGGATCCTGAAATTCCCATTGACTAGGTGGGTGATACCAGAAACGGGCTATGACTTGGAAATGGGCTGACAGTGACCGCCATTGCCATTGAATTCTTTTTTTGCTATGTCTACGGTATACCCCCCACTTTCTCACCACTTCATTTTATTGCTAAGTCTCTTCATCAAAAAACATTATACATATCGTTCATTTCCTGAAATGCCTTTCAATCAATCCATTGTCAGTTATCCTTCAGTAATTATTCACAAAAAAAAAACACACGGGACACTCCCTGGTTGGTGGTTTTGAGCCAGCCCTCTGAAAAATCATGGAGTTCGCCGGGATGATTATTCCATTCCCAACTGAATGGAAAGTCATAATCCATTCATGTTCCAAACCACCAACCAGGTTATTATTGTTATCCTTATTATTAACATTACTATTGTTATTTGCTTTTCATGTTGGAATTCCAAACCACCATTCATGTTCCAAAGCACCAACCATGTTATAACCAGCATTATATCCATGATTATCATCATGTCTAGTTAAATCCCATGGAAATCCCCATGGAATTCTCATCCCCATGGAATTCTCCACATGGTTTTCCCAGCCATTCACCCGGATCAGCGTTCCAGGGGCAGTGGCAGCCGTTGATGCCAGCGATGCAAGATCCCCATGACCTCTGGAGACACTGGTGGGGCCCCAGTTCGTTAGCCAAGTTGGTTTATATATAACTATAATAACAATAGTGTAGCTTAAGAGCGTTTATGACTATAATAACAATAGTGTGACTTAAGTTGGTTTATAACTATAATAACAATAGTGTATATAACTCATAATTATACTTAGATGGGATTATAAACCAACTTATAACTGAGGGCACCATCCGGAACAACTGAGATAAAATGGGGATACAAAGGGATATGGGTATGGGTCAAAATTCAAAGCGTGGGGACCACAGATTTTAGTTTAGTTTAGTATTAACCATCCAATTATCTGGGGTACCCAATTTTGACCCATACCCATATGATTATAGAACCCATTGATTGATCATCATCCCAGTCATACAGTCGAACATTGAAAAGATGAAATGGCTACCCAGATCTGGGAACACCGGTGTTTAGTCCACATTCATGACCCATTCCTCTTACTTAAATGCCCATTGTTGTTGGTCACCTCTCAATTATGGTGGTTAGACCACTATCACATTCACTTTGGTCGTTCCTTAAATCTTCCATGTTCCTGTGTGAAACTCTCATTTCTGTTACTGCAACCAAATATCCATGTGCCTTGGTCAAACCACCCAATCTCCCATATGTTTTCATGAAATCAACATGTTTGTTGGTTAAACATCCATTTCTTCGCTGAACCCACCTTTTCGTTCTGTAACTTCCATGTTTTTTCTGCGTGAAATCCTCGTTTCGATTTGTGTAAAACATCCATTTTGCAGGTTGCGCAAACCATGTCTTCGCTGGTCAAACATCAGTTTTTTAGTGTTGCTCCCCACTACTCCAATACCCTAAACACTAGGGGAGTTCACTCGGTGGATGAAAGAAGTAAAAACACCAATTCCCACCTCTTGGCCAGCATTTACCCACAACTGGTGGGAGCAGCCCTGTCAAAAAAAAACATTGTGTATGTTAAAATCAGGTAAAACCTATCTTTTTTGCTGGTTAAACATGAAATTTTGTAGGTTGAACATCCATTTTGGTTGGTTAGGCACCCATGTCGGTTTGTCTGAAAATAGGCTACCCCAAAATTTGATGACGAATCAATAATCAATATGAATCATCATTTTCCCATATTTTCTCCATTGATGGATTGTTGCTATATATGATTATTAATGGTATGGGGAGTCATCATATTATTATCAATCAATCATCATTATCCTATATGTTGCCATAACTTCGGGGTATACCCAATTGAAAGAGCCACAGCTGCCCCAGATGTTACCAGCCTCATCACAGAGCTCAGGGAACAGCTGGCTGACGGGCAACTTATCGAGCTGCTCCTGGGTAATGATTACCCATGATTACCCTACGAATCGGATCCGCGGTTTATAAGTCATTAATGGGGATTTTTCCATATTCATATCATATTCATTATTGTTCCATATATGAATATGGTTTCATAATATGGTATATTTATGAATATGGGTTGTTCCATATATGAATATGGTATAATTGAAATAATCTAAGCCACATTTCATGCCATATAAAAGGGGGGAATAGCGGGATGTTCCATAAATGCGGGTACCCCGGTACCATCATCCATGCGGCAAGTTGAAGTCGTAGCACTTGGCCTTGCCCTCTTTGGTCGGCTGGGGCTGAGCCCACGCAGTGCCAAGTTCTTGAACTATCCCTACCCCCTTAGCAGGGGGAGGGGGCAAAAAAATGCAACTTACAAGAACTGGGGGTTCAGGGGGTGGGGATCTTGAACTTGCCTTCGGACTTGCCTTTGCCACCTTTGCCTTTGTAAGGAGAATCACGATCACGATTGTCACGGGAGCGTTCTGGGCCACCTTTGGGTGTTGCCATAGGCCCTGATGCACTGGGTTTCTGAGCAGGTTGTTGCAGCTCTGGACGTGGAAGAAAATGAAATAAAATAAAAAACTCAGGGTAAGTTCTGATCTCTTTCACTAAGGGGTCAATGTGAGTAGGACCAATGTCGATACCAGCTTTTTCAGCCAATTTGAACCAAAAGAACTTGTCCGCCTGAATAATCTGCTGCAAAGAGGATAATTGTGCTAAGGGCAACTGATGGTACTCATTGATGACTAGGATGTTCCCCCCAAAAAAACCATCCAGCTATTGGGGTACCCCCATGACTATGGAAACCTCCATATATTTCCTATTGTAGATTCTATAGTTCCATTCATATGTCCTATATATTTCTATTTTTCCATAGATATCCCAATGGTCATCCCAGGTTCAGATTTTCAGTTATACATATATATATATATGAAACTATATGTCATATAGCTCTGTTTCCATATGCCATAGATATGAATCATATATGTTCCATCAAATCCACCCAGGTCCCACAGGTCCTTCAAGCCCTGCGGGCTCCAACGAGACCCGCTCGCTGCGGGCGCATCCAAGGGATCTGGTGGATCTGGCGTCGAAGCCAGCCTAGGTCTGAAATCATGGAGGAAACCCCAGTATTAAAAAGCTTCAAAAATGGGTGATTACTCCAAATAGGTAAGTGAGTAATGTGATACACAAAAAATATATATGTATTCTATATATATATATATCCAGTATTACATGTGTATCTATATATATATATATAAGTGGGATATAATCCCAGTTTATCCAGTTGGCTAAGCAGCGTGTGTGATCCCATGGGGATCCCACTGGGGCGGCCTTGTGGATTTTCTCACCAACCAGAACCACTTTGAGGACTTTTAACAAAGAAATATGGTGATCGTTTCAGGGGATCTAGTTGGGAATTATAATATCCAACAAGTATGGGAATTGAAGCAGTAAATTCACGGAATAAGTTGGGGATCAAACTCAGCCAGGATGCAGTATTGGGGGACCTCAAATGGACGACAGAATCTCCAACTTCATTCATTGGCAGATGGCAGCTTGAGCTGCCAACCACATACTGCGGTTGTCGAATGCTGTACGAACTGTTCCTGCTGCACTGATAGCCGCTGGGTGACGTGCATCATTGCAGTATTCACAGCTGAGATTGTTCCTCGTGGTTGGAGTGCTGCATTGCAGCAGCAACACCATCCAAGAATCCAAGGGTAGTCAGCATTGAGTGCGACCACAACCCGACCAGTCTTTCTCATCTCCACTCAGTTTTCTTTCTCAGCGTTCCGGAAGAGTACCCTATTGCACTATTGGATTCCCCATAGAAAGAGGACCAATCAGCTCGATATCAACATGTGTGAGATCCCCTAATACTGCATCCTAATTTGAATTTGATCCCGACCGATTTATTTCATGGCTGGCTCCAGTCTCATACTTTATATCCTTTAGATCCCCCTTGCACCAAAAAAATGCTTGGTAAATCTCCCATGTTTGTTGCTGAGACCCCCCAAATTGCTCCAAGTTTGTGTTCCCCATTTGCAAGCTGGGTTATAACTTCCATGAGCTAAAGATATATATATATATATATTCCCCATAAACCCAACATGTATTGTAGTTTCAAAACAGGACACATACGTCCATTTTGGTTGGTTAAATCATCACAGTTCTGATGTCTTGTTTCATTTTACCCCAGTATATTCATCCCCACTGTATCACCACTATTCATGATTTCCCTACAATCGGGGGTTTCTCAGAAAGGGGGACTCCCCAAAACCATGGCTCCCATATGGGTGACTTGGATGATGACTGGGTCAAAACCTCCACATGTCCAGTGTTTTACTATCCCCAAATACTTGCCATAATGGCATTGGGGTTTTCATCCCATATTCATTACTGGTTGGTGGTTTAAAAACCATCTTGAAAAATATGAAAGTCAATGGGAAGGATGACATCCCATAAAGTATAGAAAATAAAATTCATGTTGAAACCACCAAACAGATATTATATATATATATATAGTCAGTTGGGATGGATTATATATCCCATGTATTATGGAAATAAAAATCGTTGAAACCAACAACCAGTCATGATTTCCCCATGATTTCCCTACATTTCCCATGTCCCCATGCTGCGCAACTCCGCCCCGCTGCCTGTTTTCGGACGCTGCTCCGGGACCAAAAACCGGCAGCTGCTCCGGCAGATCGAAGAGGCCCACGCTGCGCAAGTGATCCAAGTCCATGGCCACGGATCCCAACAAGGTGGAGCCGTGGACCCCCCCAAAAACCTTCAGAAAAGATAGGGAAAATTGAGGGATTGAACCATGAAAAAATGGTGGTGATGTTTGATAGCCTTAAGTTGCTGAAAATACCTAGTTTAACTCGGGTTTGTGGTAGATCTGTATAGTTGAATGGGGTCCTAGCAACTTACAACTAGGGCCCCATCTTTTTGGGGAGTCACAGCGCCGAAGAAGCTCGGGTCTTGTTGACAGGGTATACCGGTATACCCCCGAAGTTGCCATCTTCACAGTTGAAGCAACAAATACGGGGGTCACAAAACCATATTTCTGTTTGCTGTATTTTCAGCTGGTTGGTGGTTTCAAGCCCTCTGAAAAATATGAAAGTCAGTGAGGATTATTATTCCCAATATATTATTAAAAATAAACATCATGTTTGAAACCACCGACCAGTATCAGTTATATTCACTAATATCCCCATATTTTCATAGTTAAAATCCCATTTAAATTATTATAATCATCAACCCACCAGGGCAAATCATCGACTTCACCATTGTCACATCATGATCTTCATTATTGGCTCCAGCCGGAAATGGCTCGCATCACGACCAATGAGGGCAAAGAATCACACATCACGGGAAAAGTGGAGCAGACTGAGAACATAACTGGTTGGTGGTTTCAACCTCTCTGAAAAATATTAGTCAAATGGGATTATTGTTCCAAATATATGGAAAAAAAACACATGTTCCAAACCACCAACCAAATAATTTCAAGCGTAAAAAAGGCACGCAAATCAGAAAGTCATTGAAGACAAACATCTTTGAACATATATGAAACATCTGGATTTTTCCAAGAATAGGGGATGCACCAGAATGGCAATGCAACCAGTGGATTTGGGAAATTTGACTTTATTTTCACAAAAACCATTTGACACTAACATTTTCAGACAAAGTACTGGTTTCCTTTTTCTGATGTTTCGGAATCCCTATAAAAAGTTGCGCTGAAACGCCACAGCCTCCTACAGTGCTATGGCAATATGGTCGATGCCAATATAGTACTCTTACGTATCTGTGTTTATTGGCATCTGTGCATATAATGTTAACATGTTCAACCCACTTAAATGTTTATGTGGGTACATTCGATGTACCCAAGTTCATCTGAACGAAAAACAATTTATCATGTTTTATTCACTAACTTGGAAAAAACTCATTTTGGGATAGTTACCTTTCCTCATCATCATTTTTCAGTAACATCTGGAAAAGATTGTATTGATTTGTCCAAACAATATAGTGGACCCAAACCCCATATGGGTCATAGGGTGCCATTCACTGGTCAAACAAACCCAAAAAAATGTCAAGAAAACAAATCCTCCAAACCTGACGAAGATGTCAAAAACCCTGCGACTGTGGTGGCATTTCTGGCGTATCTGAACTAGGTAAGTGGGACTATGGTATGGGTTTTGTTTGAAAGTTTCAAGAAATCTGCAAAATTTGACAGCTTGGACATTTTTAGAACGTCATTTCCCAATGAAACATGTTTTTGGGGTATACCCAATTTCCTGACACCCATATATTCATATGGGCGCTTCCAAAACCTCTTCTGGGCTGGCTCTGCTGGTTGCTGGTTGAAAGGGTTGCCCAGAACGACTCCACTGACCCCAAGTTCGGATGTTTTGAAATTCAAAATTTATCGTCGCGTGTGGCTAATCTTCGATAGTCTGCAAAACGCGTGGCACTTAATTTTTACCCTCCTGTAAACTAACATAGTTGTTGTGGACAACCTGCGGTTTCCGTAGGAATATGATATACAAATGGTGGGTTTTCCGTATCTATGTTGGTTTTCCCCTGGGTAGCTGGTTAGGTTCATATTCCTCCATGTATGGCAAAAAAAAGAAACTGCCACACCAAGGTCGGCCCAACATACCAAACCAGATCACCTTATTCCCTCACTGTCCGCTGGATGGGGGGTGCAGTTCCACTTAATCGATGTGGGTATCATACGGCTTAATCCCAACTGACGAATGCTATTTCACCACTGTTCTGCCAGTAAGAAACAAATATAATATATAACTCCAAACTATGGATGAATAGGTGATGTCCCTAATTTGCAAAAGAAATCCACGATTTCACCAAATCAAATAAGGGTTATATTTGGCATGCGCGTCCCACTTAGTAAGCGGTCTATCAACCATATTCGAAAAAGCAGGTGTATGTAGGATATACTCCGGTTACATGTGGGCTAAAAACGATCTGAGCAATGCTCAAAACCCTGTGCCATCCCTGTATATTTGTTGGTTGAGAACAGGATCCCTGCTCACAGGTTGTGATGTTCTCCTTGGCCTAGGCGGGGCGGCGCCTGGGATCACCGCAGGTGTGGGCGGCGCCTGGGATCACCGCAGGTGTGCGGCATCTCCAAGCATCGTGGGGGAATTACGCAGCAACTGGGCACGAAGTGACGAAGTGTGACGGGTGAAACATGAAGTAAGAAATCGCTGGAACCAATGGCACTGAACACCGGACATTTGCAGTTTAACCCCACAAACGCTCAGGCTACCAAAAAAACCAACCGCTGCAGCAGATCTGAAAGTGCGTAAATACCGCAAAGGACACATAAGGCTCCCGGCTAAGGAGTCGAGAATGGAGAATGATTGTACCTAATTCAGGAATTCTGACCGTGGCACTGCGACGGTTGATACGGGAGATAGTATGGCAAAAATGATGTATTCCAAAGAAATGGGATTGCCAAACCAAAAAAAAATGGGATGGCCTTTGATCCAAAAAATGACCAGGTCCCCCGACCGGTGGCAACTGATCAGTTCATGGCGGAGGGCTAGAAGATATAGATCAGCACCAAACTTGAACATGTTTTTTGTACATGAAGTGGTCCTGAAGCCGAAGCGAAGCTTGCTGGGCAAAGAAGACAACTGAAGATGGGAATCCGGGAATGGAATTGAATAGGAAGGTAGACAGCTTTTCGCTCTAGTCAGCATCTGTCTCTCGACTCTCGACCAGACCAACTTTGGGTCGGAATTGCCTCATCCAAATCCAGTCACAGTCAGTCCATTCAGGACACCTGAAGTTCATACTGGACGGTGCCTGTAGCTTGAAGCCCTTTCACCGGTCTCACCACTGCCTTCAAAGCGACGCTTTGAGCTCAATACCCTCAGTGCCGCTTGAAGGAAGCCTCTCAAGTCCTCGATGAATTTCACATTAGACCAAGATAATCCTTGAAGCCTGAGTGACGAGACTCAGGCTTGCTGACTGAGGCTACCAGTTCAAGATCAAGATGAAGATTCTGGTTCAGTTCGGTTCAACTTCAATGATTCACTTACATGAGACACAGGTGAATTGAGAACCTTGCGATGTTAGCATGTTTGCCACCTTCCAATTCCATTCTATTCTATGAGGGGCGTTGTGCACAATAATGGTATAGTTTGGCAGTTTGGCAAGACAAGAGGCATTGGCATTGGACTATCGATCAACCGATCGGATCTGCGGATTGATCGAATTTCGGATCAAACTAAAAACATTTCCAAAATGGCCAGGGCACGAGCCAGACCCCTTTCCAGGATCAACAACGTTTGCATCCTCGCGACATTCACTGGCATCGAACTGCCTTGAAAGCCACTTTGCATGTAGGCCTGTATCAGGCAGCTGACGTTCCCGGGGAAAGCAACATTCAGCTCCTCCTCTGGGTCTTGAAGATGGAAGTCATCTCCGAGCAAACACAGTGGTAACGCCGTCGCTCTGAATGTCCATCAAGATCTCCATCAGCTTCTCGGAGATGTGGTACAGCAAGCTCCTGAGCACAGCAAAGCGGGATGTCGTGTGACAGTGGCGTGGCATCACGCTGGTCACGGTGGAGAAGATTGAAAAGAATAGACGGGCACAAGTTAGAAGTCAAGTCAGGTCTTGTTTGGTCTGGTCACTGGTTCAATTGGTTTTGTTCTGTCAATATGCACCCGGCAAATGGCTGTCCTGAACTGTCTGAGTGGAAGCGGCATGGCGCGACGCAGTGGCAGAAATTCACCGTTCCACGGTTTTGCACAAACACATGCCCTCTGCGGGGCCTCTGCGGGGCCTCTGCGCACCACAATCAGACCGGGAAAAAACAAATTACTTTACTTCGTGTGATCCCCACCATGACATTTATACATTTTGTTACTGGCAAATCTTCTGGCATTCTATCTGACATATTTTCTGGCATTCGATCTGGCATTCTATCTGGCATATCTTCTGGCATTCTACCTGGCATATCTTCTGGCAGATGTTCTGGCATATCTTCTGGCATATCCTTGCATCCACTTAGCGGCATTACGGTATTACAAAAAAAAATTGCCCTTACACGAGAAAGTTACTTACACGAGAAAGTTACTGAAACGAGAAATAAAAATAAAAAAGTGGAGTAGACAGCTTCTTTTAAGAAAGTGTTTGTAAAAGGAATGAAGGAGAAGGAAGCATATAAACCAAAAGGAGTGCTAATGTCTCCATGGGTGAAATATCAGATTGCGTGTGCTCAAATTTTAATGCATGTGTGTGCCGGCAGTGACAATGTCATGTCTTCCAACAACAAGAAAATAGCTTCAATCATCGGTCCACGCATTTTTTCTCTTGGGCAAACGAGGATTCCAAATATCTACAGCAAGTTTGGTTTGTGCAAGCCACAAACAGGTGAATTAAAGATGGGTTCCCATAGATTTTGAAATCATATGAATTAGACTCGAATAGGCTGAAGCAGCCATGTGCTGAAGCAGCCATAGCTTGGCCGAAGCAGCCATAGCTTGGCCGAAGCAGCCATAGCTTGGCCGATGCAGTCAAAATGCTACTTCTCATCACTTTGTTTTTTCTTTTTCATTCATCCACTTAACCCCTTTTCTTCTCACAATTTCGATCCGCATAGTGGAAGCAAGCTTGCTTTCCAATGGCCATGTGCTGGTCTGAAGCAGCCTGTACTTCTGGTACAGCTTTTCCACATGGAACCTTTTGAGAAGATCCCTTTGGATGACTTTGGCATCAGGCTTAGTGACTACACTGGGGTTGCCACGTCATCGTG